TTACGTACAAGTCTTTTTCCAACAATTTATGGTAATGATGAAATTAAATCAGGTATATTATTAATGTTATTTGGTGGTGTACCAAAACGAACAATTGAAAAAACAACTTTACGTGGTGATATTAATATTTGTATTGTTGGTGATCCATCAACAGCAAAATCACAATTTTTAAAGTAAAAAAAAAAATAAAAGATTTTTATTTGATAAATTATAAGACTTGTTTTTTTTTTGTAAGACAAGTGGCAGAATTTTCACCACGTGCTGTTTATACAAGTGGTAAAGCTTCAACAGCTGCTGGTTTAACTGCAGCTGTTGTTAAAGATGAAGAATCAAGTGAATTTGTTATTGAAGCTGGTGCACTTATGCTTGCTGATAATGTAAAATTAATTTTTATTTCAATTGAATTTTTTCTATAATTATTTAATTTAGGGTGTTTGTTGTATTGATGAATTTGATAAAATGGATCCTAAAGATCAAGTAGCTATTCATGAAGCTATGGAACAACAAACAATTAGTATAACAAAAGCAGGAATAAAAGCAACACTTAATGCACGAACATCAATATTAGCTGCAGCTAATCCTATTGCTGGACGTTATGATAAAACACGATCATTGAGACATAATGTTAATATGACAGCACCAATTATGTAAGTTTTATGAATAATACAGAAGATGTCAAAGTTTCATTTTACTTATGACTTAATCAGCCAGGATATTTATTGTATTTCAAAAGAATTTTTGTATCACTTTTTCTTTTAGCTAATTTTTATGTAAAAGATTCACGTTAAGCGACGTAATATGAAAACAAAAAGAGATATAAAGTACAAAACTCCTTCAGGATCATCGTTGAATTCATACTCATCCGGTGTTATAAATTATTTGACAGAAAACAGCATCAATATAATGCCGCAGCAGTCATATTCGCCGTATCTAATCTTTGATTAAGTGGCTCTATCGAAGGGAGTTTAATTAATTAAATAAATGAAATATTATATATCCAAAGTAGCTAAAGTTTTTTTTGAAAAACAGCTCAAAAAAACTTTTAATAAATTGTGTCGAAAGAATTGAACTTGTTATAAATAATCATGGCCACTATCCTCAACATTTGATAAAATAAAATTACAAAGTATCTCCTTATCTTCATATTTTTATTTAAAAATCTCAGAACTTTTGATCAGACCTAAGTATAATAAAAATTTTTGCCTTACTATCATCTAGAGATTCCGAAGTAGAATTTGTAAATGGTTTTGAACTCTTCATTCAGTTATAAGAATATGTTTTTGTTTGTATATTTATACCAGAGATGTGCATGGCGGTGATACGGTAGCGGCACTTTTTTATTGAGATTGTAAAATAGGTTGAATTTGTATCCAATTTGAGTGTCTTCAAATTCAAGAGTCCAGATGGATTCAATCCAATTGTGCTAGTTTGACACAGTGGTAGAAAGACTTTGGAGAGTTTTTCTCAAACCATCGCGGTAGCGGCGCCGTAGTTTTAGGTCCCAGTTGCGGTAGCCTTGTTCCTTCTAGGACTGCGATGCTGTTTCTTGTCTTTTCTAGAATCGCGTTGTAGCAGCAGCATATTTCTAGTCCCAATGAATATCTCAGATTGGCACTCTGTCACGCCGCTAAAGTTGGTTGTTTACTGTTAAATCCACTGAATAAAGGTCTCTTATGTAGATTTTTTGAGAATAATTTGACATATAAAAATTAGCAGTAGGACAGATCATTATCTCGAAATATACGTGTTTTAATTTTGCGAAGTCATGTTGCTAGTGAATGATTTATCTTATATATGTGTTTCATCGAATAGAGCTATCAGTTTGTTAAATATTCAGTTAATGATGATTATTCTCTCATGATAACTTAATTTATTATATTAATGTATTAAGATGATAATCTATAAAAAAACATATAATGAAATAAAGCCTTGTTTTGTTTGTTTTCTTGATTAAAAATCTTTTAATTTTTATTTTAGGTCTCGTTTTGATTTATTCTTTATTGTTGTTGATGAATGTAATGATGTAACTGATTATAATATTGCTGAACGTATTATTGATTTACATACATCTGGAACTCGTTCATCAGTTCCTTCACTTGTAACTACATATACATTTAATGAGATTCGAGATTATATAACATATGTTAAAGCAGCTGTTCAACCAAAATTAACTTCAACTGCTAAAGAACATATAATAACACTTTATAAACAATTACGTTTACGTGAAACATCATCATCAGGCTCAGGTCGTATATCATCATCATCAACACCAATAACTGTTCGTCAATTAGAAAGTTTAATTCGTTTATCTGAAGCTGTTGCTAAAATGTATTGTCAAGAAGATATTGATATAAAACATGTTCAAGAAGCTTATCGACTATTAAGTAAAGCAATTATACATGTTGATCAACCAGATATTGATCTTAATGAATATAATCGACCAACAACAGTTGTAACAGAAGAAAATATGGAAGTTGAACAAGAAACAATAACATCAACTAAAGAAGAAACAAAAATATCTGTTGATGAATATAAACGTTTAACAAATATGATGGTTTATCAATTACGTAAAATGGATGAAGAACCAGAAATCGAAAGTCAAACAACTGGTACAAATGTTATTATGCCTGGTGTTAAACGACGTGAACTTATTAATTGGATACTTGAACAATTAGCTGATGAAATAAATAGTCTTGATGAATTAGCACGAAAAAAAGCAACTTTAGATAAAATTATTGATCGTCTTGTACATGTTGATGAAATTATTATTCAACTTGATAAACGTACTGTTAGTCAATTTGGTGTAACAACTCAAACTAAAGAAGGTACAACTGCTGAAGAAGAAGAAGAAGATAATGAAGATCCTGAAGGAAATAATCTTTATCTTATTGTTCATCCTAATTATGTTGCTGAAGATCAATAGATTAAATATATATGTATAAATAAAGATAATCTCTTATTTTTCTTGTAAAATTTAAATATATCTATATTTTTGTCTTAATAGAATAAATAAATGTAGAAAGTTAACAAATAAATAGAATCTTCTTTTTGTTTTTCTAAAGATAACTGTAGAAATAAAGACTTTTATCAATTGTCACAGAATAGTATGAAAGACTGGTAGCATTGAAGATAGTGCTACATATTATATCCAAGAACTGAAAGCTTCCGGACTCGAGCTCGTTATTGAACCTGACAGATCCGAATTGGTTTCCAACAATATATGCCATCCTTTGTGTACATGGATAAGTGAAAGAAAACAAAAGTCGTTACATGAAAATGTATGAAATAGTTTGAGTTATATGTATGGAAACGAGATCAAGTAAGAGTATGTTCTATGCAATTAATTTAAAGATTAGTACGATTTTTTCAAGATTCGTAATCTTTGAATAACTTGCGAATACAAAAAGCTATCGAGAAGCAGTTTTCTCTATTACATAGAGGAGAGTTCGGTGCATACACCTATATTAAAATTATAACTATAATAAACTTATTCACATGATAAATATGATCAATATTTGGAAGATCATCATACCTTGTTTTAGACTATTGTCGAGTTTTTCAGTAAAATGGTGAATATAATTATAAATGATTGAATTATATATCAACCATGTAATAGAATAGAATGAGTATGCTTAATGATCAATGGTAATAATCTATATCAGATAGGTGTCAATATATCATATGAACTAATGCGACATCTATCTTAGTGTTTGGCACTTATCATCTCTGACCTGCCAAAGTTTTTTTTAGAACTCTACGTTTCAGTTTTAGTAGTCTTTAATCTTCTATGTGAAATCGTATAGTTGAATTATTATTGTACAAGTGAAAACTGTTTTTTGCCTATTTTTGTTTTCATTTTCTCGATTCTTTCTATTAATTATCATTAATAGCAACAGTACTAATTGATGGAGAAAAAGTCAAAAAACGTACATTGCCTAGCATCAATTCAAACAGAAAGACAAAATAAAACATCAGAAAAGAAAATACAATTTGATATGCCAAATGAAAACCAACCACATCCTTCAATTGTTGATGCTTAAGAAAGATGCACATTTTGTAGTACAGATAAAAATCTATATCGAATTTCTTATCACTATCCTTATTTCAATAGAGTTTTCTAAGAGAAATTGCTTTTATAAATACCATAAAAATTCATCTTAAATATAAAATCTCAAAGGTAATCCATCCATTGATTGAGCCATGGGTCTGAAAAGATTAAGCAGAAAATTAAAATTAATTCTGTTGAGTTTGCAGCATTTAACTGTCGATCATTCAAAACAATTAATGATATTAGTTTTAAAAATCTTGCACAAACAAATTTTAATGCTGATCGATAGAACTGTGGATTCATGTTTTTGTGAACTGAAGTCGGATCTACACCTTATATTATTGAAATATAAATTATTGCTGATACTCATGAATGTAATTAATATCAAAAATTCTCGCATTGTTGAGTTCGGTGAGTTTTTCCTCACAATATAAATGAACATCAAACAATCGCATATGTTCAAAATTAATATAATTCGCAGACACTCAAAATTCAACAGTGCATGTCAAAGTTCGTTGAGAGAAAGGATAATGTGTTTGGAATAGAGTTCATCGGGTTCAAAATTTTTCAAATCCAAACCCGACGAACTGTAGTTCGGAAGTTTACTGAATGATTAAATTAATTTGTTGCTTCATATGGCACTTATATCGTATATATTATCATTAGAAGAAATATATTCGTTGGTATAGTTTCGATTTTTTTTTTTTTGAAATAAATTATTTTAATGTAGTTGACAATTGATCATCAATTCTCTCATGTACAAAAGTAAATGTTTACATTGAAATATATTTTTCGCTAGATGTCATTCTTCTGTCAAAACCACAACATATAGGACTTGCAAAATTTATCAACCAATCAAAAGATTACTTCATGTAATTGCTCATGCTGGATGTCATTCCTTATTATTTACAATATTATTTAAGTTTTAAATCATAATTTTATTATTATTTAGATGTCTCTACTCGATCAAAATTGGGGTGGTATTGGTGGTACTGATGATGAAGCATTAGATAATGATCATCCAGGAAGACAAGTAATTGATTTAATAAGAAAAACAAAAAAGTATAACTATTAATTTTAGATTTTAACATCTCGTGATGGTACATTAATGTTAATTGAATGTGCAAAAGAAATGTTTGAACCATTATCTAATACAATGAAATCAAATTCAACAATTAATGAGAATGAAAATAATGATGATGATGATGATAATAATGAATTAAAAACTGGTTTTCAATTAGTTATGCGTGCATGTCAACGTTTTTATCAATCAAAAATTATATCAAATGATAAAGATCTTAGTGGTATTATATTATATGGAACAGAAAAAAATAAAAATTCATTTGATTTTAATAATATTTATATACTTCATGATTTAGCACAACCATCAGCTGAACGTATAATACAATTAGAAAATTTATCAAATAAAGAAACATATAAAAAAACTTATGAAGATTTATTTGGTTTAACACCATCAAAAGGTTATTCATTAAATGAAGCATTATGGACATGTTCAAATTTATTTTCAAATTCATTACAACGTTTAACAATAAAACGTATATTTATATTTACATGTAATGATCGACCACATGCATTAAATATAATATTAGAACGACAAGCTAAACAACGTGCTAAAGATTTATATGATGTTGGTATTCAAGTTGAAATATTTCCTATATTAACTGAAACAATAACAAAATTTGATTATAAAAAATTTTTTCAAGATATTTTAATGTTAAGTGATGATGAACTTGATTTAAAAAATAATCAAATAACAACAGGAAGATTAAATGAATTATTAAAACTTGTTTATTCAAAAGAACATAAAAAACGTGCTTATTGTACTGTACCATTTTCATTAGGAAATTCTTCGGATGGTACACAATTACAATTTTCTGTATCAGTTTTTAATATGGTAAATAGATATAAATAGAATATGTTATACAAGTAGAGGCATTGAAAAGTCTATTTCGAGAACGAAGGTCTGAAAAAAAGAAGAGACGATCATTTCCTCTAAGTCGACTACTGAAGTTTACCCTCGACATATCTGATTAGAGGCGGTGATTGAATCAGTTAAATTTATTAAATATGTAATAGAAAAATGAACTTTTGTAATTACGAATAGATTTTGCACTATGTTCTTTCGAAATATGAGAAAAGTTTTAATTTTTCAATTTTACGAAAGATAAACATCAGCAGTAAATTCGCATGTAGTTTTTTTATTTATGAGATTTATTCTTAAATAATTTATGGCAATCTTGATATTCAGGTTCGTCCTTGTCCAAAACCAACCAAGATTAAATTAGATATGAAAACAAATATGGAAACAAAACTTGTTACAAAACATTATCTTCCTGAAACAGGTTTGTTCATAGATGATGATAATAATAATAATAATTATTATTATTATTAAAAAAAACTTTTTGTTTTTCGTTTCTAGCTGAAATTCTTATGCCATCTGATATACAATATGGTATAGATGTATCAAATCGTCGTGTTTTATTTGATGCTGATGAAATAAAAGCAATAAAAAAATTTGGTGATCCCGGTTTTCAAATACTCGGTTTTAAAAATCTTTCATGTTTATTACCACATCATTATGTTAAACCCGGTCATTTTATTTATCCCGATGAAAAATATATTGAAGGAAGTTCATGTTTATTTAATGCTTTATTAAAAAAATGTTTAGAAAAAAAAATGTTTATTCTATGTCAATTTATTGCAAGACGAAATACACCACCACGTCTTGGTAAAAGAAAATCAAAATTAATATTTTGTTTTTGTTTTTGTTTTACTAATAATTATTAATTTTGCTTTTTTATTCTAGTTGCACTTATTCCACAAGCTGAAGAAATTAATAAAAAAGATCCAAATGATCGTTTAGCATCAAATGGTTTTCATGTATATTATTTACCTTATGCTGATGATATAAGAACATTACCAAAGAATGATACAGCACGTTTAGATGATGATAATGTTGATTTATTTAAAAATGTTGTACGTAATTTAAAATTTAAATATCGTCCTGAAAAATTTGAAAATCCTGCATTACAAACATTATGGAGAAATATTGAAGCAACAGCATTAAATAAAAATAAACCAGAAGAATTTATTGATTTAACAATACCAAATATTGAAAATCAAAATAAAAAAGTAGCTGAATATATTGATGAAATTAAACAAACAATTTTTCCACCTGATTATATTATGGGTGTTGCAAAAAGATCAGCAACAAAACGAAAGGTTAGAATATTCAAAATAATCAATGACTGTTGAGAATGATCAGCTCTTTTTAAGCACTATAAAATATTACGAGAGAAAAAAAAACACTGACCACACACAAAGAAATTCCAAGCAGATATAATGTTTTTTTTTTTGCTTGATATTTAATCGATTTCGATAAAAACTAATATGATATTATAAATCAACATCCGAAATTGAATGAACTTAGATGTATTTCAAAATTTTTCGCAAACTTTTTCTTACGTCGAAAAATTCATCCCTATGGTCCCCTACAGAGTTGAATCAAAAAATGAATTTCATTGAAAATTATTAAATAAAATCGTACAGAATGTTTTATTCCATCTATCAATATTGCCTTTGTTGTTATGTAATCTCAATTCATAGCTTCTACCAACAAGAAAATGATCATCACATCATGTTTGACTCGATGGATGTGTGTGACGTCTTGCTGATATGTCCAATTGTTTCCTAATATTTTGTCGGAATTTTACAGCTATAGGAAGAACAACATGATGTATCCTTTCTACATTCATTGTTCCATCTTCCAAAATCACTACCACTCTCAGTCTCTTTCCTGTTTACAGGCCACATTCCATCGTTCTAAGCAATTTCAAGCACTTTTTTTTACTAAACAAAGTATTTTAATCAAGTAGAGAAAATTCAAAAATACAAACAGTATAATTCTTTATGAACAATCTGTTAGACGAAGTTATAAATTATAAATTTTTACTATCATATTGTCTTATTAAACAGACTAATCAAAACTAATATTTCTTTTGATACTGAATACATGATGTTTCAAATTTAATAATTGGTAGCAATGTTTTATTCAATATGAGTGCCTCTTCAAATATCGAGTTTCATCTTTGCATGAAGTTTGTGGTTATTGCAATACGAACTATGTGTCTGAATTTTCATCAATAGATATTTATTCTACTGATTATTCACCTTTCCTTCTATCTCAAATAGATTTTCTATTCTCAGACATTTATCCTTGACAGACTTCAACAATACGTTGATTTTAATCTTTAATTAAATGTTACGTTAACCTTTCTAATTTTTCATTTGACGCTAAAATATGTTTTCCGAACTGGTAAAAGGTTACAATATGTATTCAAGCGAATATTGATTTACTGTTGGGAGAAAAAAAAAGAATACTTTGAACACTTGTCTATCGTGGATTAAAAAACAATCAATTCAACGCCTTCGAGTCGAGATAATTTTTTTTTTTTTTTTGTAGGAAAATATTTCTAACACAATGTATGTTGTGTTCTATAAATACTTTTACATTCGTAATTTATTTCTGACGTAAAATAAAAAAAAGAGAATTAACTCAATCATTTGACTGAATCCTTTTTGATAAATTATGTTTATTAGATAGCGAAGTATAGAAAAGTCTTTAGGTACTGAAATAATAATGTGTTATTATAAATAATTTTGTAATTATAGATGACCTATTTTTTTGTAAAATAAGTTAATAATATTTGAATTATTGTGCAAGATCCCTTGATCTCAATCTGTTTCTTTGAATTAATATGAAATAGGATTTTTTCTTTTGTCTAATCAAATTATTATGATAGTATTCTTTTTTTATTTATTTATTCTGATAGTGCTTTGAAGTAGTATGACAATATAGATGCATTAGTCAGACAAATATTAAAACATCAACTTTGATTTCCGTTTATCAAATAAGTGTTGTAAAGCAACATATCCGATGATAGTTGACGTGACATAGTGATTAATATTTTTTCTTAGTCTTTCTGTAAATATACCTTGATGTGTGAAAAACACATTTTGCGTACATCAATCAACAAAAATAAATTTTATCAAACAAGAACACTAGGACAAATAATCTTTCCAATATATATTTTATAAGTATCTTTAAATCAAAATCAACATGTAAAAAAAACAAAACACACCCATCACATCTTTTTTTTTTCTTTCTCTCTAAATTATAATATAAGATTTTCAAAATATCAACTTTACACTAATGCAAAAATATACATTGGTCGAAAGTTGAATATGTATCATGAGCTTATCACATGTTTTTTTTTTCTGTGTTATTATGACAAATTTCAAAGGTCGTAAAATTATTTTTTTACTTTCGAATAGTACCATTTTCACCCAGATTTATTATTTGTCATAGACTATGTGAAAAATCACGATGTGCTATTTATCGTATCTAGATTTGTACTTTTATCGTATTGTATACGATTGTTTTCATTCGAATTCTATTTTAAGCTTTTAAATCACACGTTCTTTGAAGATTGTTTTTTTTTTGTCTCTTTTGTAATCAAAATAAAATCTAAGGATTTTCTTATGAAACTTTAATCTCTAGGCTGATGCAGCTACTACATCAGTGAGTTCAAAAAGAACCAAATCAGACGATGATGTCGACGTTGAAGCTGCTGCACACAATAATTTAGTATGAAAAAGATTAAGCAAAAAAAAAAAAAGAAAAAACTTCCGTTTTTTTTTGTAATTTCCTTACTCATATTATTTCTATTTTAGTTAACCAAATTAACCATACCAATACTTAAAAACTATTGTAAAGAAAAAGGTTTAAAAGCATCAGGAACCAAAAAACAAGATTTAATTGATATTATTCAAAAGCATCTTGCTATAAACTAAATCGAATTAATATTCTCCGTTGTTTTGCTTATATTTATTTTTGCAAAAAAAAAAAAAGAAATAAATACAAATAATTTATAAATAAAAATTCTGTTGTTTTACAGGTTTTTAGTCACGTAGGGATGTTTTTTTTACTTGATTTTTAACATTCCTACAAGATAAAAGTAGAAAGAATGCATGTATATGGAATGAAGACTATCTCTTGCATGCTTTTTCACTTACATATATTTTCGAAACTATAGAATGTGAATAATAACGAGCGACGGAGAAAAATAACACGTATGAGAAAAAGAAGAAAAAAAAAGGAGACAACAAAGCGGTAATACCACCATCTAGCGCTTGATCCTTTCCTGATCATTACCATCTGCTGTTTTTTTCACAATATTATTATCAAGGGTTCTGTTCGTGCGTATGTAAGTTTTTTTTATTCTGATTGCTTATTTTATTTTTCAAATTAAGATTCAATAATGTCACATAATATAAAATCATCAATAGAATCAGCAAATATTGCTGAACATGGTCCACCAGCGTCTATTGGTGAACATCCAAATGCAATTACAAATCGGTTTGTTAAAAGAAAAATAAAGCTTGTTTGTTTTTATTTTCAAAAAATATTTTTTTTTTTTTTTATGAACTTAGTTTTTATACATATGAACGTATACAAGAAATTGTTGCTTTTATTCAAAAATTAGCACCAACTAAACCAGAATTAGCTATTATATGTGGTTCAGGTCTTGGTGGTTTAGCTGAATTAATTGTTGAGAAAATTGTAATACCTTATGCTGACATTCCACATTTTCCAAAATCAACAGGTTGAATAAGAAAAATAAACTAGGTTGTTTTTTTGTTTTTATATAAAAGAATTTTTTTTATTTAATCTAGTTGCTGGTCATCGAAGTAACCTTGTATTGGGTATATTGAATGGTGTTTATGTTGTTTGTATGCAAGGCCGTCTTCATTCATATGAAGGATATACTACAGCTACGGTATCTATGAAAATCATGCATTTTGTTTTTTTTATTCTTAATAAGAAATTAAATTTTTATTTGTAAACATAAATAGATTGCAATGAGAAAATGTTTTATTAAAGATTTTTTTTTAGGAAAAAAAAAGATAAGATGAATAAATGATTATAAATTTTGTTTTAATTATTTTTAGTGTGCTTTTCCAGTGCGAGTTATGCATATGCTTGGTGCACATTCACTTATTGTTACTTGGTTTGTATTTTGATATATTTTTGTTTATTTTTTTAGGAATGAAATTTTATTTTTAGTGCTGCTGGTGGTATTAATGATGATTATAATGTTGGTGATATCATGTTAATTAAAGATCATTTGAATTTTCCTAATCTAGCTGGAAATAATCCACTTATTGGTCATAATGATGAAAGGTAAATTTTGAAAAGAAATTAATCTATTTTCATATGTATGTATTTATTTTAGATTTGGTATGATTAATATTAAATAAAATTTATTTTTATAAAATTTATTTTTTTAAGGACCACGTTTTCCACCTGTTGGTCATGCATATGATCGAGAATATTTATTAGAAATGAAAAAAATTGCTAATAAAAATAATCTTCAATTACGTGAAGGAGTCTATTGTGGATTAGGTAGATAATTATTTATATATGTTTTATTTTTCTTTTTTTATTTATTTTATTTTAAGGTGGTCCATGTTATGAAACTATTGCTGAAATAAATATGCTTAAGTTACTTGGTGGTGATGCTGTTGGTAAGAAAATAAATAGAATTTAGAAGAGAAATAAAATTTTTATTCGAACTGTCGATAGACATTTAAGATCTAGGATAGATGATCATTGAATAGATTATATCTTAATTGTCAATCACCAAAGCAAAAAAAGCAAGTTTTTCAATAAACCACTACAAAATTTGATTGAAAATCTGCATAGAAAGGCTAACAATGAGTTAAAGTATATATGTCTCTATAAATATTCATTATTCTTGTATTTATGTATTCTTATTGATCTTTTATCTAATTCTGCGAAACTACTAATATAATCGAATCCTTTTTTTTGTGTTCTCCTCAGAAATTTCTTCAGTAAGGATCTATCCTAGTAGTGATAATGTCCGCGCACAAACATTCGGATGAGCAAATGTTTTTTTTTAAACCAAATTCCTTCAATTTGTAAAAGAAGAACAATAGATCATTTTAAAAAAATTTGTAAATTTCCTTTTAGGTATGTCAACTGTTCATGAAGTAACATTCGCAGCTCATTGTGGTATGCATACACTTGGTATGGCATTAATAACTAATATAGGTTTATCGGATTATAATATAACACATGAAGTTGGTCATGATGATGTAATTCGTATAAGTGAACTTAAAGCTAATGATTTACAACAATTGGTTTTTAACTTTGCTGATGTTATTAAAAAGAAATCATCTTCAAAGAAATAATCAAAAACAAAAAAAATACTGCGCAAAAATAAACTTTGTTTGTGTTTTTTTTTACCGTCCTTTCATTCAAATATATATGTATTCAGATTATTTATAATGGTCTATCCATTTTCTTTTTGCTTTTCATGTCAATCGGTGTTGGAAAAACAATGCTTTTTGTTTTTTGATCTATTTTGTTGTTTTTTTTTTCTGTATCTCTATTGTGTTCGTCAAGATCTGTATCAAAAAAAAAAAAAGAAAATCATTTTATTATTTTATTTAGATGTAAAAAAAAAAGAAAAGAAAAACTAGAAAAAAAAACTTATGTCTGAACAGTTTACTAACGGTAGATAAAGATTATTTGATTTGTCTTTATTTATTTTGCAAATTTTTTTAGTTAAATCAGTATTTCGTAAACGATTTTCTAATCTTTCATCAGCAATTACAAATCGTTTATGGCTTAATGCTGATACAAATTATGAATGTGATGTTTTATTAACATTTCCAGCACGTATTGATGATCATGTGATAATTTGGTTTCTTGAAAAATTCATTCAACTTCAACCAGATATTCGTATATCTATTAAATATCATTTTACTACTGGTGAAATTCATTGTTTTTCTTTTTTTGAAATAGAAAAAAAACAAAAGTTTATTTATATTGTTTGTTTTGATTAGGTGTTTATGGATTTTATGTAACTTTTACTTATGAAAGGTATAGATTTATTTGATATGTATATAGTTTAATTTTGTTTTTGTATAGAATTTTGAAGGGTGCTGATACTCTTCAATTAGAAAAACCAATCAAACAAGAATTTGGTGGAGGATATCGAATATTTTCGTTTGATGAATTAGAATTTTATGAAGGTAAAATATTAATTTTTGTGAAACACTATCTAAAAGAAGTGTTGAAATATAGGAGTAAAAATTTGGACATATCCGTTTCTCTCCACAGGTCGTGACTAGATATGTGCGAAACGAAGTTTTTTTGTTGATCCCGGTTTCAGTAGCTTCTTTTTTAGTGGTTTCGACTCTAATAGTTTTAGTCTTTTGGATTTCGGGTCTACAGAAAACTACTCCAGAATTTATTCATATGACATCTAAAAACTAATTTTGAATATTCGGTTTTTGATTTATTTAGTCACACAACTAGCACTTTGTTGGGTCATCTCTCTTGAGTTATGTTCTGATTGATATCATTTGCTTAAAATCATAGAATATTTAGCAATAATCTTTAGTTCCGCTTGGAACAACTTTTTTCTCATAGTTCCAGTTCTAGTTTCAGCAACATCTCTTTCCTGTTGTCCATAGGGTGCTGTGCTCAAACCTTGGTATCACCAGTCATGGAATGACCTTGAGCAAGTCACTAACGGCTCATCCCATTACATATTGACTATGTTGTGGCATACACTTGCTTTTATGATTAGTGTTTTCGGGAGACTCAAGAAATTGAGCGCACGAACTCTGCGTCACACTGACCTTCTATCCAGATCTACAGCTAGTATTAACCGTAGAAAAGATGTCGGACCACTGAACCTGTTACTAGGTAGAAGTATTCTTCATTCCTATGGTCCCAGTTCCGCATATTTCTAACTGTAATAGGTATCATTCAGAGACCATCATAGATTTTATATCAATAACGTCTCGTTATACTATATGAACTATTTATATTAGCAACAACAGTTACATCGTGTTTCTCATTTTAATCTCGCATGAATTGTGCAAATAGTGTTTTTAGTGTAATTAATTCTTTTTTTTTTAATTTTGAATAGGTGTAGAAAATGAAGAAAAATTTTTAAGTTCACAAGAACGACAATCAATTGTTTTTCATCTTCTTTATTCAATAAGAATTATTGAAAATGAAATAATAAATAGAATTAAATTTAAAATTGATCAGTCATTAAGTAAATAATTTTTATTTTTATTTGTGATAAAAAAAAAGAAACAAATAATAATTTTATTTAGTTCAACGTGGTTTAGAAAAAGAATTAATTCGACAAATTATTCCATTACATAATAAAGAACAATTGAATTATTTGAGAGAAATATGGGTATGGCCAAAGAATATTATTACACCACAACCAATTGGTATGAAAAATGAAAAAAACATATTGAATTTTTTTTGTTTTATTAAATTAAACTTTTTTTCTAGAAAAAATTCGACAATATTTTGGTGTTAAAATTGCACTTTATTTTTGTTGGTTGAGGTACGAAAATAAGAACGTTGACAATTTTCTAAGATAATATTTTTATTTAGTTGTTATACCAAAGCACTCTGTCTTCCAGCTCTTTATGGTATTTATATTTGGTATTATACTGGACAAAGTCAGGTTTGTAGATCTAATAGATGAAGAACTATATGTATTCGCTTATCTATTGAATCCAAATTTAATATAATTTTAATCTTTAGAAATGATTCGTTATTATTCGAAATATAGTAATCTTTTTATAGTTCTCTTTCTCGTAGAGAAGAGTCTAGCATGAAGAAATTGTTTGTTTGCTTGCTTGTATGTCCGCACTTCATTGATTGGTCGAAGTATACTGTGAAAATAAAAGAGATTATTTTCCATAAAACTTAACCAAAGGTAATTGATAATGAGGAATCCAAATCTGAGGTCAGTTTTAATTAATCATTAACTAATTATTAACTAATTATCAATTGACTATTAATTATTAATATTTCCATTAAAACTTAACCAAAGGTAATCGAGGGTGGGAAATCCAAATCTGAAGTTAGCTTTAATTAATTAATTAATAATTAACTGATTATTAATTTTTTTTTTTTTTTCAAAAACATTGACTAAAGGTAATCGAGGGTGGGGAATCGAAATCTGAGGTCAGTTTTAATTTATTAATTACTAATTAGTAACTAACTGATTAATAATTATTAATTTTTTTCAAACAAATTGGCCAAAAATAATCGAAGGCGGACAATCCGAATCGGAGGTCAGTTTTAATTATTAACGTATTATTTCTTAATTATTAATTATTAATATTTTCGAGAAAACTTGACCGAAGATGATCGAGGGTGGAGAACCCAAATCTGGGGTCTGTTTTAATTATTAATCATTAATATTTTTTACAACATTCGAAAAGAGGAAATTGAGGGTCAAGAACCTGAATCCGTAGTTTGTTTTGATTTTTTTCTAAGTACTATTATTATTAGTGTGTTTTCTGGAAAACTTGATCAAGGATTTTTCAAATAAAAAACGAGAATCTATGATGAGTTTGTGTTAATAATCTAGCAATGCTAAGGAATAGTAAAACATACTAATATCATCATAGTTTAGGAAAAAACTTCACTAGAGGAAATTCAAAAACAAGAATTTCAATCTGAAACTAGTTACTATTATTAATATAGATAAGTGAATAATTTGGAGAGAGTCAAAAAACAGCACTTCTACGAAAAAGAGCTGAACAAGTCCATAAACGAGTGTTACTTGTTATATATAGACTGAAAATTTCTCTAATGAAATGATTGTATTCTAATTTCGATTAATTTACTTTAGGAACTTGATGATAAACTTTTTATCATAAATTCTCTTTTAAATATCATATGGGCAACAGGTTTTCTTATATTTTGGCGACGACGACAAGCTGAATTAGCATATCAATGGAATACACTTGATATGGAACAATTAGAAGAAACACGCGCAACATATAAAGGTACATTACGTCGATCACCTGTTACAAATAAATATGAACCTTATTATCCATCTTGGAAACGTTTATTATTTCGTTTATTTGTAACTATACCAATGCTTATTATTAATATTGTATTGGTTTCAATTCTTATTCTTATTATAATTCGTTTTCAAAGTTGGATTGATCGACAATTAAAAGTTGGTCGTTTACCATGTAAGAATATTTTCTTTTTGTAATTTTCTAATTAAATTTTTTCATTAGCATTAATGTCATTAACAGAATTATTACCAAAAATTTTATTAGCATTAGTAACAACTGTTTTTGATGATGTTTATAAATATGTTTGTCGCTGGTTAACAGATCGAGGTATGAGAATTTAACTATGAAGAGTTTATGAATAATTGTTTTGTTTTGTTTTTTTTTTTTTTATAGAAAATTATCGAGAACAACGAGTACATGATAATCAAATGATTGCAAAAATGTTTGCTGTAAGATATATTTACATTTTCTATGAATTTAATAAGATTGATATATACGCATTTGAATTTTAGTGTGCATGTGTCAATTCATATTTAAGTGTTTTCTACATTGCTTTCTTTACACATAAAAATATTCGATTATCTGACGTAAGAGAAAAAATTTTTTGCATACTTGTATATTCGATTGTTGTTTTGTTTTTTTTTTATTTATTTTAGCAATTAATCACTATTTTTGTTATAAAACAATTTTGGGATCATATAAAAGTATGTAGAAAAAAACAAGTTTGATATTAGAGACGTACGGAAAAAGGGCTATGACTATCCTACATAGCTTATTCAATTTTTAACTGAGATTATTTTTATCATTATATCTCTAGTCCTTTGGTCTCCAATTCAGATTGAGAAATATATTATCCATTGCCACCAATGCTGAAGCGATTCAGCCATTACATAAAAATAGATATTTGATTTTAAAAAATTCTCGTTGAAGACTTTTGTGCAAAAATACAGTGTTACATAAGTTATATATTTCACATAGATGACAACTGATTTATACAGAAACGTGATATCTTTTATGTCTATCAAGTCCGAACATGCTGTTATCGATATTTATGATTCAATATTATCATTGTCTTCTACATTGATATCAAGATGTTCTTTTTTTTTTATTGACTTCTCCATAAATCTTTGCATTCTTAATATGATGAATAGGTTCCTTTGATAAAGAATCACCAATGAGAAAGTGTACTTTTTTTTTAATCTGATAATTGTAATGTTTAAGCAAACAATAGATACTAAATATATAAACAAGTGAAGTAAAAAAATTCAAGTGTCATGAGTTCATAAAATCAATTATCATTGTTATTTGTTAATAACTGTCGTCTTTTAAAATAGAATTCATTTTAGCGAATGAAAAAATTTTAAGATATTATTTAAAAATCATCAATAATCTTTATTATATATTTATTTAGGAAGCAATTATACCATATATTGTTTCAAATACTCGTTTATCTGTATTAATTGAATTAAGTAAAAAAGAACAAGCTCGATATGCTGAACGAAAAGATCTAAATAAAAAACTTAAAAATATTCTTGATCAATTGAATAATTCGAAACAAATAAAAAATATTAATGAAATTTCAACTGAGAATTCATTTAGTTCACATGATTCTATACCAAGTTTTGAAACATTATCATTATCACAAGCAGAAATTGAATGTTTACAACCAAAATGGCCAGATTTATATGAAGATTATTTAGAATTAGTTATACAATTTGGTTATATTATATTTTTATCAACATTATTTCCTCTTGCAGCATTTTTTTCATTATTAAATAATATTGTTGAAATTCGTGCTGATGCATTTAAATTATGTATGATATGTCAACGACCATTTTCACAACGTGTTAAAGATATTGGTCATTGGCAAGTAAAGAAAAAAAAATTTTTTTTTTATGTCAATACAAGTACACAATATTTCATTGTTTTTTACTTTTTAAAGAAAATTATGGAATATATGGTTATTGCAGCAATTATTGTTAATTGTATTTTTTGTTCAATACGTGGTGTATTTAGACGAATGTTACCGGATCTTCCATTTGCTGCAGAAATTTTTTTACTTATTTGTATTGAAGTTTGTATTTGAATTTCTTTTTTTTTTTTTTTTTTTATTTGAAATATGAAAGTTTCTTTGATTTTAGCATCTTCTGATACTAATTTGTAAAATAATTCGTGCAAGTATTGAAAATGTTCCTTATTGGGTTCGAGTTGAAAAAGCTAAAATGGAATATCGTCGACGTGAAGCACTTACTGTAAGAAACAAAAAAACAAAGTATTCTTCTTTTTTTTTCTTAATTGAATCTATTTTTAGAAACTTGAATGTAATGCTTTACATTTAAAAGATAATAATACTCAAGCAAATACAACATAATATACAATATTTTTATTTATCTATGAGTCATTTGCGTACAAATTTTCAATTCTCCATTTTTATGTCATATTATATTGGTAATAGAGTTTCCTTAACAAACAAGTGTTTTATCTTGGTAGTAATGCATATATATATGTGTTTAAATAAATAATTTATTCCAATGGGTATTGTGAATAGTATTTGTGTTGTCAAATCTACTCTCCAATATCGTTTCTTTAATGTTCGAATAATTTTAATGAGAATTTTTTATTGTAATATTTAGTTTTATGAGAATGTTTTTTATCAATAGAATTGTATTAATAGTGTCCAATGTAAATCCAGGTAAAAAAACTCGGAAAATCGGTAGGAACTTGGAAGCAGAAATCTGATGGCCGGCTCTATTCGGAACTAGAAAAATCCAATCACTGGTTTCCTGCTTTCAAGTTCCGATCATTTTTCCGACGGGAAGCTCACGAATTCGAACGTTGCAATCATTGACTTGAGTTAACATAATGATAGCCATTCTTATACTTAATGAATATTTAGTAATTGATATTCGGAATTGTATCGACGAGAAAACAACAGAAACTTCAATCTTGAAGTTTCTGCTGTTTCTCTCTCAGATTATATATGAGTTATTCACTTTGATTCATTTGTTTGTTTGTTTTTTATGGTATATTTTATTTACTATTCTCGTTCCATCAAATATATTCCAGCCTTGGCACTTTTTTTTGTTGTCTATCGTGGTTTTTTTCTTCTCTTCTATGGATAGTTCTGAGCCTAAATGTTCTCACTAATCTATATATAGCTGTTATTTTGAGAGGTGTAGGAAGTAAATTTATTTGATAAAAAAAAACTAAGTCTATTGTATTTCATGAATAAAACATTTTGACAACTCTGGTAGATTATTGTATCTACTTGGCACTAAATAACTACAAGATTTCAGACCTATGGCTGTTATTATGAATGAAAACGTGTGAAAAATACTATCGATAAGTTAGATATATGAATTTCCCACATAATCTTCAATTTTATCGATAAATGCCTAGAGCTTATCAGATCACCGAGTGATAATCGCCGTAAGAAAATGTATTTTATTGGTCACAGATATGCGAGCGATTATAGAAATACAATAATATTGAACAACTAAAAAACGACATTAAAAACCGAGATCAATGATTCCGACCAAAATTCGCACGAACTTGAAAGTACTATTATGATGACCGGCTCTGCTTAGTTACAGCAAAAGTAAGATTCCACCCAGATCCAAGAAAACGGCACGGTAAATGGTCATAAATGATAAAATATAGTGAAAAGCTGGATCATTACGCCGTCATTGTCGATAAGCTCGTAATACGGTGAAAACATTAGGAGAAACGATGACCGCTTAGCAGAGAAAAAATCGACTAGGAAACAGGCTGACGAATTACAGCGAAAATCAATGCAGTAATTCGCCGTTTTCAACAGTCAGCATGATCGTCCTGATAAATTGTAATTAAAACTGCATTCAAAGCTGTTCGATATATTGATTGCTTGATGATTTACTGCATATCCACTAGAGCTGCCATACATACCACATTTTGGGATACAATATCTCATTTTATTAACTTGTACCCCGAAAAATTTTGTATTCCATTTAGATTTTTGAGTCTGTGCTCAATAAACTGATCTTTTAATAGAAATGAGTTATATTTGTCGATAGAGTTTTTCTTCATTTTTATAGGAACATTCATAGGGATATGTATTAGTAAAGAATGATTATTGGATGTTGGCGTCTATTTGATTTATTTAATTTAGTTTGAGATCTTATTTAGTTTTTCATGCCGATTTTCACTGCCAAAATCAAAATAAAGTTTCTTATCTTTATTGAACTAGAGTTTATTTTGTTTAATAAATTTATTTTTGAATACATCATATGCATTTATTTTTTCATAAAGTTTTTGTCTTCGTATATAAATTTGATTTAAATAACGATATAAAATTTTTTTTTCATTGAAAATTTTTTTTAAATTTATAAATTCATTAGTTTTATGAACAAGTTTCTTTTTTATTAAAAATAATTTTGATATATTATTAAATTTATCCGGTGAACTTATCATAAACATATACCAATAATGTATATGATTAAAATTTTTTTTCATTTCTAATGTAAGTTGATTTTGAAAATTAATATATCGATTAGAAATACTTTGTGAATGAAGATATTCATTATGTTCAAGAGTTTTAAATGAAATTGATTGTTGTAATTGTTGATTATATGATCGTAAATGATAATGATATTTATGTAAAATATTAAGATCTGATTTTGATTGTTCAATTATCTTATCTAAAAAAAAAAGCGACAGAAATCAAATAGAAGATAAAATTACAATGACGAGGTGGGTGAAAGAGATTATTCAGCTTCCCTCTCCTACACAGCTTTGTGCTCTCTCTATGTCAAATTTTAGAATTTCTGTGTTACATATAAATGTATCATCTTTATGTCCGAATAAATGAAATGAATGTATTAAGAACAATATTGAATAATTATACTATGAATTACTACTGAATAAACAATTTTTTCTGAATGTTATCTCGATAGCACAAGGTGCAATGACAATACCTATCCTGTGAAAGTTCATTTTCAGCGATGAAAATAACTCTCAGGCACATTATGGAGAATAAATATCTATGTATTTTGTTTATATTATCAGTATAACGAGATTTCCAATATAAATTTTGATGGTGTTTGTTGAAATAGTAAATTAGATATTCTATCTATTGTCGTTATTACCATGAGATATACTTAGGGCATACCAAAAGTACTGGCAGTGACACTTTAATACCCTATAGTAGACTTTAAGAAACTTTCTTTCTATATAGTCTGATAGAGAAAAAAATGCTCTATCTTTCTATACTATTTGATCGTACTTCAGCTAATCTCATAATATTAAATTATCCATAAAACCTATTTCGGCTGATTATGTGCTGGTTGTACTAGATTACAACGTGTGAGAACAGACTAGTTTTCAATCCCTCAAGACATTGTATGAACAACCAAAATATACCATAAGATGCAGCGTGAAAAGCTCTACAATTTACATAAGGCCATTTATTTTATAGCTGCACTTTTTGCTTTCAAAATCGATAAAGTTTTGAGGGATCAAATTTTTGGTATTGAGAAAATTGGTCGCATAGAGTTTTCCTTTTTTTGAAAACAATTACAATAAGCTTTACTGTATAGATTGTAGAGCTTTTCACGCTGCATCTTGTGGTATATTTTGTTTTTCTTTTGGTAAAGCATATCAGGTGATAAACAATGAAATAACAAAAATGAATTCGTTGTGTATCGAAAACATTGTCTTTTTCGCATCTTCACAATTTGATTGCTCCAAATTTTGTCGATTTCGAAAACAAAAATTGCAGCTATAAAATAAGTGGTCGTATGCAAATTGTAGAGCTTTTCACGCTGCATCTTATGGTATATTTTGGTTATTAATACAACTAGTAAGAAATCGAAAACTGCAATGCAAAACTTACAACCAGCATATAACCAGCCGAAATTGGTTTTATAGATAATTTAATACTATGAGATTAGTTGAAGTACGATCAAATAGTATAGAAAGATAGAGCATTTTTTTCTCTATCAGACTATATAGAAAGAAAGTTTCTTAAAGCCTACTATAGGGTATTAAAGTGTCACTGCCAGTACTTTTGGTATGCCCTAAGTAAAAATCAATTAAAAAGGCATTATCGTCTATAGTTCTATACAGAAAGAATCATTCAAAAACAAAAAGATTCTTCATTGGAGTAACGAAAAAAACAATGTATATACATTAAGAGAGATCAAACGGGTTTCATAGACTGAATCCACCTAAGCCAAAATCTTGATTTCGTTACTGTTACATTGCAAGACATGAACTCATTTGATATACACAAAAACAATGAAGAATAAACTCAATCGAATTTGAACTTTAAACTGAACAAATAAAAGTAAATTTTCATTCAATATACTCTTTCAACTATCAGAAAGCATAATTTGATTATCTTCAAGTGTATACCTTGCTTAAGATGTTGTGTAGAAAGACGTTTTATTGTTTTATATAATGGTTCTAATTCATTATTAAGCATAGCTTGTCTATGTCCAAGTAATTGTACTACAAAAGTTAAATCTGCATATTGTTGTTTTAATAGTCGATTTTCATTTTCAGTATAATGAAATATTTCTTTTAAAATTTGATAATTATATTCTGAATGTTTTAAATTTTGATTTAATATCTTTATATTTTCTTTTATTTGTTGTGTTTGATAATGATATTGTTCTAATAATAAATTATTTTGTATAAGAATATGATTATTTTGTTTTGAATTTAACATTAATTTTCTAATAATTATTTTATATTGATTAATTTTTGTTTCATTTTGTTTTAAATTTAATTCTATTTGATTAAAATTAATTTCATTTTGTTTAATTTGTTTTTGATAATATGAAATTTCTTTTGCTAATGGTTTTTCATCACTAATAATTTTATATAATTTTTGTTTGAGTAATTGAATTTTAATTTTATTTTCATTAACTTTTCTACGTTGATCATTTAATTCTTCATGTGTTGTTAATAAACAATTTTCAAGATCTTGTAATTCTTTTGTATGAGAATCAAATTGAATTTCATTAGAATTTATTAGATAATTTTGTTGTTTAACTTGTTCACTGAATTTATTTATTTCAATTTTTGTTATTTGTAATCGTTCTTCATTTGCTTGAACTATAAGATAAAGATAGAACTTTCTAGCAATTATAAGAATAACTTACAATATGATAAATTGGTTTTGAAATGAGTTTTTACCTCATTAGATAGATAGGTCTATTGAAGGTAGAGAATTCTTAGAACAATTTGTACTTATGCGTCTTGCTACTTGGATTATGATTATTTTAGTGAAGTTTTTATACAAAATGCTATAGTCTTCGATAGATCACTTTCAAAATCGACGTTCGAGTTCCAACAGAGGGAGAAATAGTCAAGACTTCAGTCTTTAAGTCTGCTGTTTCTCCCTCGGTTCCAATTATGTACAAATAGAATTCTCAATCTATGGGAAAGTATCAAACTTGCTATGATCATCAAGTTTGAGAATCTTGTTTGTCCAAAATTTGAACTTGAAACTCGTTACACTGATCTATGGAAGACTCACTAAAATAGTTATCTGTCAAGAGGGGAAAGACTCATGGACGTGAATCATTCTAGGCATTCTCTATTTTCAATAGACCTGCTTAATGAAAAAAGACTTGTTCCAAATCTAAGCGATCGCTTTGCTAACTGTCCTTGCTAGACAAAATTTGGTTGAAGTTATCGATAATGCTGATTTCGCATATGAACATGAAAAACTACTTAGATCTTCTAAAGTGACAAAAATTTTCTCAAAATCGTTTTTGATCTACTCAGATTATAGAGCATATTGAACTGCCTATAAGTCAATAATCTTTTCTGGCTTCTATAAATGAGTTTTAAGTAGAATAATATCATCTTGAAGATTTTTATATTGAAATGTCGATTTGTATCTGTCGTATGAATTAAAATGACTGTATTTTCTGCTAAAAATGACGATTAGAAACAGCAAAAGTTACTGTTATCTAGGCAATTCGATATGCTCTGTAATCTAGAGAGAGAGTAAAGCATAAAGTTTGTTAGTCTAGAACACCAGCATATGAAAATCTAAAGATATTTCTCATGATCGATAGCGTACAAATCAGTATCTTTCTGTGAGAAAGCGATTGATCAGTTGAAAATGTTGCCTCGTCCGTAGAATTAATGCATGTGAATTCTTGTTAACTATTCATCTATACTTTTGTTTTTTAAAAGTTTGCAATTGCATGCCTATTTTTTGGATAGGTATCTAAATGTTAATGTCAATCACTCTCCAAAAAATCTTATTTAAAGTATAAACTAACAGTTTTCGTTTTCCGATGAGGTTTTAACAATTGTGGCATCAGCTTAAAACAAAAAGGTAACTTGATATTAGCTAAAGTAACTCCAGGTTTCATTTCATGAATAGAGAAATGATCGATAATTCTATGAATCCGTTTTTTACCCATATTTTCTTTACCGAAGGAGCGATTTCAATAACCTGAAACTCTGAGAGGGCAAATCCGAACTTCAGAGAGTCATCGCCCTCTCATCCAAGGGGTCATTAGGTGTAAAGTTGAAAGTATACTTTTTAAGGGCTTAAACAGTATAACATACACTCTGACATATGGGTTACTTAATATCATCAATGTCTTTGTTCCTCTTATTCACACTAGTCATAAAATCCAGAGAAAATCTCAAACTTTCGCCTTGATCTGTTTGAATTTCGTTCTCCTATAACATCAAATGCTTTTACGCAAACATGCGTTTAGTGTAATGAGCTTGCACGATTTTCCATTACATCAAATTGGATGAAACTTCCACAGAAAGTCTTGATTTATACAGCATTAGCGTGAAATACCCACTGTACCTCTCGACTCGTTTGCTAGACACACATCACGATTATGAATGAATGTGATTGTAGTAGCAAAGATCGAAATCGATAGAATGTTAAGAAAAACTAGGAAAGGTATTTGAAATAATAGAAACCTTTCAAACTCTAATAAGTACAAATTAGGATAGAATTAACTTGTTTTTTGTAAATTATTTGTAATATTATGTTGTTTATTATGATCTTTAGATAATTTTCTATATGAATATTGTAAATTTTGAATAGTATGATTTGAATGAAAAATTTCTTTTTCTAATAATTTTTTTTTTGAATTTGATTGTTTAATAATATTGATTAATTGTTGTTGATGATTTAATATTTGATTTTTTTCTATTTCCAGAATATCAATTTGTTGATAAAGTTTTTGACGATTTTTATTAAATTGTATTTGTTGATTTTTTAATTGTTGAAAATTTTCATTTTGTTGTTGAAGAATTTTTTTTAAATTTAATATTTGATTTTCATAATTAGTTCGATTAATAATATTTAATATTAAATTTTGTTTATATTTTTCTAAATTATTTTGATAAATAAATATTGTTTTATGATGAATTTCAATTTGTGTTTGTATATGAAAAATTAATTTTAATAAATTATGAATTTCATTAATAAGAAATTTATAATCATTAAGAAATATTTCAATATCTTTTATATTTAAAATTAAATTATTTATTTTTTTTGATGATTGTTCATATATATGATTATTAATATGTTCTTGATTATTTATTTTTAATTTTATTTCATTTATATTTTGTGTTATTTGTAATATTGATGTACGAAAATATTCAAGTGTTAATTGAATGTTTTTCATTTTAATTAATAAATCACCATGTTCTTTTTCTAATAAATTTAAACATGTTGTTTGTTCATTTTTTTCTATTTGAGCAAAATTAAGAAGTTTTTCTAAATCTTCATTAATTATTAATTTATCATTTAACGTAGTACCTATTGCTGTTTCCAAGATATACCATAGACGTGAAGTATTTACTCGAAGAATCTTTAAATTAAGAAAAGACAATTTTATTAGAATAAGATTATAGGAGATAATGTGTTCGACCACAGATCCAAATGAACTATGGGTACGAGTTCTTTTTTTGATTCCACTGGTTTCAACGGCTTCTATATGAGCAAAATGGGATATACCAGTTTTTTTAGCATAAGTATATAAATAAAAATGTTGACTCTTTCAGCTGACTATTAATAAAAAGGTAATTAGCGAATAGCTATCTAATCATAGAAGAAAAACTTCAGGATAGACTTAATGACACGAGCTGCATCGCTGATGAAATTTTCAGCAAGATCGAACTCCAAAAAACTTAGAGATCCTGAAGAGGAATTTTTGCGTTTGCATATTCATACTTCGTCATGTCGCTAATGAACCAAAATATGAACTCCATCAATGTCCGACCGTTGGACACCTTCATTCAATATTTTGAACTGTAATACGTACTATAAGGTGTCTATCCTGTGATACATTTTCTCTAATAGTATCATTAAAATTGAATAGTGAAAAACCTTTTAAAGGCGAAGAACCATCTCGAAGAGATTTATTGCAACTTTGATATTCACCTGAAGGATATGCCATGCATTAATTTCTTTATTTTTAATGTCAGTAAGTAATTGTGTTAGATCATCAAATTTAGTTTTAAATGTTGTTAATGTTATTTGATCAATAGTTCTAAGCTCATTAGCATAATTAAGTTTAGTATAATTTATATCTAAATCTTTTTTTAAACGTTGAATTTCTTTAAGAAGATATTCTTGTGAATATTTTAATTGTTGACCTGAATATATATCGAATTACAAAAAAAATTATATTTCTATCTAAATTATTAACAAACCAATTTGTTCAATTTCATTGATAATATGAGTTATATCAATATTTTCAAATTGTTGACAATTTCTACGTAATTGATTTATTTGATTATGAAATTCTTCCATTTTCAAAAATATCTTGACGAACAATAATTTTATCATATAATAGGCGCGTACACACACAAAAAAAAAAAGAAATGGATATTTTACAATTTAATTAATAGTCAATACCCATGAATTTAAAAGCATGAGTTAATGTCCAAAGAGGACCAATTAAAAGAAATTGTAGATCTTTAAAAAATGCTGGTTTTTTTCCTTCAATTTCATGTCCAATAAATTGTCCAATCCAAGCTAATATAAAAATAATTAATGCTATACGAAATATTCGCACATGATTTTTTTCCAATAATATTAATAATATTATTAATATTAAAAATAGTAATGTCATTGTTATTGCTAATGTAGATGAAAGATTCCAATAGAAAGCAATTATAGGTATAATTATAAGTGATGGATTAATTAGACCAACTTGATCAATTGATATTATATGACGAATATTTTTTGGTATAATTGGTAAACACCAAAGCATAGCAATAACAGTTATTGTTATTGTTGGTACACATATTTTATGTATGAGAATATTAATTGGATTTTGATGTGATTGAGAATATTCATCAAGCCAAGCTATTAATTCTTCACTAGGCATCTAGAATAAATGAAAAGAAAAAAAAAAGAATCTCATATATCTATTCATTTATTTTTGAAAAATAATAACATTTTTTTTATTTCATCAATTCTTTTTTTTTTTTTTGTTTTTGCTTAAATATAATAAAATAGTAAAAGAATCAAATTGAAGTTTATCTGACACACAAAAAAAAAAAACATATCAAAAACTGTTCATAGGATTATTCATATCGATGTCTACCACGCTTTCTTTTTGATGTATTTCTAAAATAAAACAAAAAAAAAGAATTTCATTTTTGTAATTTTAATTATAAGAAAAGAGAAGTTCATGAAATTTGAACTAGGAAGAATTTTAAATAGCGAATCCAACAAAAAGACATCTAATCCTATTTCATTTTATCTTGCTTTTTAATTTACTTTGGTTTAGATCCAGCAAGATGCTGTTGTGGATCATATTTAAGTACTAAATCTCTTGTTTCAGGATGTCGTTCAATATAAACTTTTTTAGCTTCTTCATAAGCTAAATGCATTTCTTCTTGATGTAATTTGACAACATCTGTATTAGCTCCACATTTTTCATTATTATTAAAATGTTCATAACCATGAATAGGTTGACGACAAATATAACACATTGATGCACCACAAGCACATGTCATTTTATTACAACCTAATTAGTTAAAAAAAAAACAAATGCAAAAATAAATACGTTTTTGTTGTTTTTGTTTCTATACCTTCAAGTTTATAAAATCGTTGTTTACATTTATAACAAACTCGAATCATTGCTTCTGAAACACGATTTTCAATAAATGTTCTCATATCTAATTCATCTTTTTTTTCAACTTCATCACATCGTAATGGTATATGATTTGGTTCACCACAAGCACGACATGTTTCTTTTAAACATTCTTGATTTAAACATCGAAATACACGTTCATTAGGATCATCGATAACTACAATATACAAATAAATAAATACATAAACATGTAAAATATCATATGCACTCATAAATAGAAATGTTATATAAAATCATTTGAAGTCAAATAGATCAATGAAGGAATCTCCGTAGATGTCCCATTCTGATTTCTTGCCTATAGATACTACACATAGCAGACCTCGAAATCGGGACCCGAGCTCAAAAGAAACTTCGTTTACAAAGATTTTCTTTTTCTCAATAGACACCTATTCCATATTTTTCGGCTTTTATAAGAAGTAATGACCAAGGGGGATAGCGTAGAGAAGCTTCCCCTCAGGAGTTAGCCAAATCTCAGAAAAAGCATAAAAATCGTCGGGCTCATTTCGAGGCCTGCTACATAGTGTTCTAATAAAAACTGTAAAACATTTTGATTCTTTTCTGAAAATAGAGTTGTGCCAATGGGCATATTTTCTTATGTGATATCTTTTCTTTCTCAGTGTGCTCTTGTACAATCAATGATACATAGTGGTCATAATCGCGTTACTTATACATTTATCTATGCATGGTTGAACCTTGTTCTCATTCTATATTACCATTCACTCGTATATTATGTGTATTGTTACTCAATTGTTCTTCTATATCTGTTCTCTCCTTGGCCTCATCACTTGTTCATTCTTACATTGTTCTCTCCTTGGTTTCATCATCTCTTATTATACTCGTGTATATAAACGTGTGCTTTATATAAAAACGACGCGATTGTATGATATGAAGGATTATAATAAAGTGTAACTCCATCTGTACTAACATACCTTCTATCATAGATCGTCACAGTTGGTGATTGATGATATGAAGAAGCTCAATAAAGCATAATTCCATCAGTATTAATACTTCTTCTATCTGAAAATCGTCACAAGAGTTGTGACTCTAAATGCTCTAGTCCGTTCTAACACCAAAGAAAGTTGTTTATCTAATGTAACAATCAAATTTTACAGTACTGGTCAAAAATATAAGACTAACGTATATTTGATTTTTCTTCCCCACGATGTTGAGCATTTAGCTCAAATCTAAATAGTGTTTTAAATACCTATTGAAGTTCTCTATCAAATGCATTCCATATCGAAATTTCAGAGATAAACTATGGGAGATTGTTTTCGGATCCTTGAAGACTGTATGAAAAATAGATTTTAAGAGTATCGTCTTAAATTCTGAATAAAATGAAGGGTTGTCGCATTTTCTACGATCTTCTCTTAAAAAGTTATAAGCATACCAATGTGAAATTTATCATAACATTGCTAAAAACAAAAACATTTTTTTTTTATAATACTTATAACTTTTTAAGGGAAAATCGTAGAAAATGCGGCCACCCTTCATTCTATTCAGAATTTTGCACTCTTTAAGCTAGTATTCTTAAAACATATTTTTCACATAGTGTTCTACTACCACATTTGATTTTCTAGAAGGGAGATCAGAATTTCGGCTCGGGACAAAACTCATCCCACTACTCTTCATAAAAAATAGTCTAACTTCAATGAATAATTAACACATTCTTGTAGTATTGAGCAGCACGGCATAATGCATAGCAGTGAGATTTTAGATCACATTATACTTATAACATCCTGCTAAGCATACTGAGTGTAGATCTCTTCACAACTCCTATCAATGCCGACACTCACACTATGAAGTATACTAACTAGTTATAAACGTATAGCTTTTTTTTAAGGGATTGATGAGGTGAACTTTAGGCTCAAGCCGAAATTCATGTAACCCTCCCACTAGAAACCTTCTTGTCATAATCCATCTATGAAATTTCGGCATAGAACTTTATTAGCTATTCAAACCACTAATATTTATATTTGAGTTAAATTGTTGGTATCGTAGGAAAAAAAACCCGCCCTGATGATCAATATTGAATATTCTTAATAAATGAGAATATAATCATACTTGTTCCAAATGTACAATATTTGCATTGTTCAAAATTAGGAATATTTGCTAGACGTAATTCTTCTTGTTGAATTTTAATAAGTAATCGAGAAAGAAGTGTTGGTGAAAGTAAATGATTCATTAATGATGTTGAATATTCATATTTACATGTTGAATTTAAACATGTAAAAAAACATTCACCATTTGATATAAAACCATTTTCAATATAATTTCGTATACATGTTCTATTTAAATATAGAAAAAAAAAAATTTTTCAAATGAAAATTCAAATTTATTTCATATTAATATACAGAACAAAAACAAAACATATCTTATTTTCTATACAAATTAAATCGAAATAAACTTAAGTTTAAATCAAAATAATAATTAATTATAACTTACTGACAAAATCGATGATTATTATCACAACTAATCATATCATCATCAAGTAATTGATCATCACAACAACAATCACATGTTTGTAATGTACCATTTTCTGTTGCAATACGAATTTGTTCATCACGAAATTCTTGTTTTCGTGTTAAATATTCTATATTTAAAAAAAAAAAGTAATCAAAAAAGAAAAATTTCAAGCAAGATTAAAAAAAAAACTATTCAAACAAAAAAAACAAAAATTTCTCAATGTGTTTGAAGATCTCTTATATAATAAATAGTATCATCTATTTTTTCTCGTGTATAAAACATATCTCTTGATATTGTTCGTACTATAGGATCTTCTTGACAAAATTCTACAAAATTATTTAATACATATGTTGGTGGTTGACGTGTACGTGTCATTAAATCAACTCCAGCATTTGTAAATAATGTTGAACTAAACATTGTTCCTATCCATTGATAAGGTTGATCAATAGAAGCTTCATTATCAACGAAAATAATACCAAATTCACTTGTAAATAATTTTAATAAACCATTTCCTCGCCATTGAAAACGACTTGATTTAGATATTGATTGTGTATCAATACCACGAATATCTGTTGGTACAAAACCTCTAAATGGTCGTCGAGTATAATATTCAACAAGATCATTTAAACGAAGACGTCCATCAGGTAATTGATCATGAATAGAATATGTTATTGTTGGTGTTAATTTATCTTTCCACATATCAAGATTTGTTGCAAGTATATGCCATAAACCTAATGCACGATTAGGATCAAAATCATTAACACTTGCAGTATCAATATCTTTAGATGACATAATGATTTCTAATGACGTAGAATAAAAAACTGATTGCAAATGTATCTATCTCGTGCTTGTTTTTTTTTTCTTTCGTTCTGTTAAAAAAACACACACGCACACGCATACGCCTATTGTCGACTGAAAAATACTCGGTGTATTTTTTTGTTGCTTCATTACTTACCTATAATTTCATCCTCATGTTTGACATAACATAATTCCTAAAGAAAAAAAAAGAACAAATAATTTATTCGAAAATAAAATAAATTATTTTAAGATACGGGAAATCCAAAAAAAAATAGCATGTCGAATTGATTTAAAACAAAAGCTGATATGGATTTTCACGGATCGAATTTCTTAATTTCCTCAGTAGAGAGTTCCAAACTCTACAAAACAAAAATCCTTGTACTTAGCGGTTAACTTTTGTTTTAAATCTCATCAAATTTCATAACTGAATAGTATGTTCAAAGACGATTGTTCGAAAACATCACGATATCATTATAAAACATTTTGAAGATGTTTTTTGAGCTTAGGACATCCAGTTCAGTAAATATCTATCTAGGTTTTTTTGTTAATTGTTGTAGATAAACTTATTATCTCATCTTATTTGATAGCAAAACATATGTATCAGATTTATAAAAAGTTTATTTCATAGTTGAGAAACTTCACTTTTACTGAAATTTTAGCTTTTCTATTCGAAATTAGTTCGTATTTTGATATTTCCTCAGCATTTTTCAGTAAAATCAAGATTATATTCGGAATCAGCATCAAATGAAGGATCAGAATTTGGGTTGAAAACACAAAGTTGTCTAATAATTGTGAAAGTCATATATCATTTGATTCAATTCTTAACGCTGATTCCGAATATAAACTTAGTTTTACTGAAAAATGTCAAAATACGAGCGAGTTTTGGACAGAAAAACTAAACGGCGACTATAAGGCTTTGATCCTGGAACGGGATATGTGTAGGTTTTTAGAGTTAGCCTTCCTCTACAAATCTACGCATTTCCATCAATAACTACTATGAAATTTATAGTCGCCTTCCGGTAAAAGTGAAGTTTCTTAGCGATGAAATAAATTTGTTTGAAAATTTGATATATATTTTTTCTAGCTTATTGTTGAGATAACAAGCTTGCCTTCAACAAAACGTCCTATGATCTTCTCGAGATGCTAAAACTTTCACAATCATCTCAGCATAAATATTTAGAATTAGTTTTTAATATGAAATCAGTTTGAAAACATTAGACAATTCAAATTTTTAGGATTTTTTGACTTGAACACATAACTAAAAGCAAGTGTTTCTTTTTCAACTTGTGGCATGTCCTTTTTTTAGTTGGAGAAAAACAAATCTATACTCATTTTTTGAATTTTAAGCATCTTACTTTATAAAAAATTTCATCTGGTATATCAGGAATTGAAACTGGAGCACGAGCTCTTTGATTAAGTCGTTTAAGAACAGCTAAATAAATAAACAAAAAAAAAAAAGGAAAACTTTCTTTTCTTCACAATTACCATCATTTGATTTTTTTCCTTGTTTATTTTGATTAATATGATATGTTTGAAATTCTTCTTGTAATTGTTTTATTGATGGTGCAAAACGATAATTATTATTTGATAATATTTGTTTTATATAATCAATTGATACACGTGCAAATGCATTAGCTAAATAAATATATGCATGTTTTTTATATGATTCTGATAGATTTTTTGTACGATCATAAAAATATTCAAGTGGATTAGGAAATGTTTTAAGAAATTCATTTATTTCAAATTTTGGTTCACGTAAATTTTCTTTTAATCTTTCATTATGTAAACGTTCTAATTTATCAATTAATTTAATATAACCATTTTCAATAAGACTTGTTATTAATATATTTAAATCTGTTTTATCTGATGATGTTTCACGATATCTCATATAACATTCTAATGCATAATCAGGATCAATATCAGGTAATATAGCAAGTAAACGATTATATTCATCAGGTATAAATATTATATCATCAATAATCATATCATCATATGATCGTTTGTTTATTGAAGGTTTTATAAGATTATATGAAAGTAATTCATTAACAATATCATCATACCAATTTGGATTATTACTATTTTTAAATTGAATATAAATATTTTCAATATAATCATGTGGAATTGTATTAAATACATCATAAAGTGTTTTAAGTGTATCATCATTAATTGTTGTTTGTTTAGGTGTACAACTACTAGATGAAATTATTTGTTCTTGAATATCATTTGTAGTTTGTCTTGGATCAGTTACTTGACCAAATGATAATATTTCAGAAACAAAATGTGAACATATAGCTTCAATTGATGTTGATTGTCGAATATGCCATCCAATAATATCAAGAGGAATTTCTATTTCAGGAAATATATCATGTAAACGATCACGAATTAAAATGACGGATGGATGCTACAAAAAAAAAAAATAGAAGAAAAAAGTTTTGTGAAAATATTTTAGATTGATTGAAAAAATTAATAGAAATAGAATTTCATCATTTTAATATTTCAATAAAGTTAATTATAGAAAGTTTTATGAATTTCTTTATAAAAAATTTAAAAAAAAAATTCTAATCAGTATAATTTTCTATCTTACAAAAAAATATTTCCATAATAATGAATTAAATATTAAGATTAATTTATGAATTTAGGAAACTTTCATTAATAGTATTTCATTGTAAAGCAGGTAAAAGAATCTCATAAAAATAAAGTTACAGGAACCCATCGAATTGCTCTCGAAATTGGTCCAAATTCGAAGATTTTGCTCCCAATAGTTTCTGTTCGTCTCAGAAATGTGCAGGATGCACTACCCCCTTATATTCATCGTTCGGTATATTGAAAACTTGAAGTTTATTTACACATGGATTCGTCCAGTCTTTATTTATATTTCAGGATATATATATCTAAGGTCCTATTTCTATGGAATGATAAGTTTCAGATCTTTAGGTTAGAGATTAAGCTTTTTTCATATCTTGTTTGAGAAAAACTTTTACTCTTGCTGTATCTTAAACTGTATATCTTAACTTCAATCGATGATATCAAATGAAAATATTTCAAATAGAATATTTTCTAATTAGAAATTTATAAAAAAAAAAACCAAGATAATTAAATTTCAAAGAATGAAGTTATCTTACAATATTTGCATCCGCCATTATGAAATCAATTTTTTAAAAAAATAGATGTTGCCAATTGATTTTGAAATCTGCAATGAAAATATTATCATTCATTAATATTTATTTTTAATTGTTAAAGTAACTTATACCTAATGTAGAATAATGGAATTGCATCATAGTTGTGAAAGTCTTTCAATATTTCAAAATCGAAATGGTTGTTACAATTGACAAATCAATGTTATACTATAAAAAAATTATATAAAGATGGCAGACTGATACAGAAAAAATATTTTTAGCCATGTTAGTTTAACACATGCCATCTATTGTTTACAATAAAATATTCACGATTTAATCAAATTTCATATTTATATATATATTTAGAATTTTGATTTCTGAATACAAAATTACAATCAAATAATGGAAATTTTGATTTCGTTTGATAATGAATATTTCTATGATCATAACAAAACATAATAATTTATTCATTTTGGAAACAAATTGTTTTAGTACAAACACTTATTTTGTAAAGCATAATCCAAAAGGAGTGTTGAAATATAGGGGTAGACATTTACAGCCTCCGTAGAGGTGACATACATCCTTAGCAACGTCTCTTCTTCATCAAAGATCGTACCAGATACAACCATAGGCCGTGACAGACGCTGCTGATTTAGTCTCGTACACCTCTAACCATGAGACAATCGTTTAACTAATAAATAAGAGCTGAATGATCTTCCGGGATCAACCATTTTTAATATACATTCAATATTTCTTTCAAACAACATCCAGGATGTCCAAAAAAAGATCATTGTAAAAAGAAACATGAATATCTTTTAATCTGTATTAGTGCATCCGTTGAAGTTTTATTCTATAGATTTTCCGATAGACATCTATGGTTACATAATATTAGAATTTTTTTAATTTTATTAATAGTCAAATTTGAATCACGTATAGTTATGAAATGAAACATCAAAGTGAGTTTGACATACAAACATAAGGCGCATAGATAGCATTAGAAATATTTTTCAACGCTTCAGTGAAATTATTATGTTCATAATGTTTATAGAAAAAGCCGCTATTGAATATTTCAAGTTAATACAACAACTTGTTCCACTTTAGGAGTAATCAGACACAGAATTTTTGACTGCAAATCTTTCAATGAAGATATACAAAGTCTAATTTGTTCAACAATTTCACGAAGGAAATCTCCAAGATTAAGCTATGGTTCGATGAGTTTTACATCAATATTAGAGTACATTAACAATCAAGAAAGTTCTTCGTTTGTCGGATGAGACCATTCCTATTTAAATAGTTTGTTTATAAATATAAAATGAAAACTAAGATGTATGCCACACGAATACAAATCTATGGAGAATTGATAAGTGAAATACATTAATTCACAAAATAAACTTTCTGTAGTTTTTTTCAGATATAATAAATAGTTCTGTGAAGTAATAGAAATGAAAACATAATTCAATAGTTCATAAAATAATAGCAACAAAATATTATTGCAATATTTTACTAATCTTCTTAAATATTGTTTACTACATATAAGTTTGAATTAAAGATGGCCATATTTGTATTAAGTTGGTGATGCTAGTCCTTCAATTGTGATGAGAGTGTGACGTAGAGAAGTTCAATATCTATACTCACATTCCATAATCGAAAGCGTGTTTTTGTTTTCTGACGTTTCTACTGATGGTAATGTTTGTTTTAAAAATTATTGGATTGTGTCTTAGTTTATAAATGCATCGATGGACTTTTCTTGTCTATTATGACTTGACAAATTTCAATATAATTGATGGATATTAATTCTCTTCATTGATCTATAGTTATACTTTTGAACTATGTTATAACCTTTGTCAGAATTTATCAGAATAACAGTTCATTTGACATCGCCTCTAACCCGATTGCATAGATCAGAAGGATTACAAAATAATTATAATGTAAGAAAAATACTCATCGTGTCATACTTCTTTCTAATCTCAAAATTCTTCACAACTCTATCTTTCGAAAATCATAATCTAATCTTTTTTAAATAATCTATATATATAGCATACCTTTACCTACCGGTTACTTTATTATATGCATCAAAAATCTTATTGAAAATGAGTGCAATCATTCTTAAGTACATATATAAATATTTTAAATATCATGTGGAATTAATCTTAAACTGCTAGTATAAACCTACATTTAACAAACATGAAAAACAAAAAAATAGTCCAAGTTTTGAAATTAGATAAAAGATGCTTTTTTGTAATGAAATTCAAACATAAAAACAAATTAATTTTGTTTTCTTCCTTTTTTTTTATGCAAGGTGCGTCGACATTTGTATATTTACAAACGTAGATTTTCATGATAAGATTTAATAGAATGTACTTTGCACTTAAACAAAAGACTTTATTTGTTTTTGAGGGCTATGCTTTCTATAGAAATTGATTGACGATACTTGAATAATACTGTTTTTCGGTTTTCTTTACCTGGACGGAATAATGCACCATTTGAAAGAGCAAATATTTATTCAAGACTTGTTTTTTTAGACACGAGTATTCTTTGGAGTTTACTTTATAGTAAAAAAAAAGCAAACTTTTTTATACATGTATTGACTTTGCATATGGATTATAAGCGAAAAATACGTAAGTTCAATTTTGGTTATATAGGAATTCATATTTTTATTTTGATTATATGGAAACAAAAAAAGGAAAAGAATGTCAATAGGTCCTTAGACGTTGGAGCAATATGTAGTTTCATTCGATGATTACGTAAATTTTATTGTAGAAAACTTCTTATAGAATTGCCTGTTTGAAATCATTATCATTGCAATAAGACCTTTAATGAACATCGTGTATACGTTATGCTAATGTCTATATCATATTTTACAAGTGTTTTTCAGTTCTTCTTCAGAAGCTTTCATATGATTGGTCACAGAACGAAAAAAAAAAGTATACATATATATATATATGTACGTCGTGAAGAATGCTAATCTACCGTTATTGTATGCAATGTTATTTACAATATGAAATAAGCTTGTAACAAAGATTGAATAATTCATTGAAATAGATGCTTATAAATATCGTGAATGTCATGAGTTTTTCTTCAGAAAATTTTCCAGTATCATATCAATTTTTATCTTGGTAATTTCTATTCAACTGTAATAAATGATTCATCCGATACGTTTGTGTTTTTGTACTGTAATTGACTAACAGTTTGAATTTTATAATTGTACATAATTTGAATTGAGTTATTATTAATCTCTTTTGTAGTAATGATTTTGATAAGCATAAATCTATTCAACAGTTAATCACATTTAATATATATATAAAATATAAAGAATTTAGATTTGTAAATACAAAACTTTGTTCTTTATAGTTATAAATTATTTGTTCAAGATATAATTTCTAGGTATATAGACATTCTTTTTCTCAAATTTTTGTCTTAAATAACTGACATGTTTACTTTCTTATCTTATCTTATCATTTTTTTTTCCTTTTATTTCAAATGAAAAACATCAAACGATACAATAATGTTTCTTTTTTCCTACTATAGAAACCATACATGATAAGCTTGCAATGTCATGCATAGATAAAAACATCGTTTGAAAAAAAAAAACATGAAAGATAATGTAAATAGAGAAAAAAAAAGAGAAATATCCTTGGCTTGTGTAATTCTTACGTACGAATAAATAAAAGTAACAGAAGAAAGAAAAAAAAACAGAGGGAGGTTTTTTTCTTCGTTGTGCATCAATATCTATATAGAACATCAAGTCCAGGTGTTTTTATGTTTTTAGAAAAATTTGTATTAATAAAAGTTAAAATTTTGATTTAAATAATGAATAATCCAAATAGTAGTCAGTTTATCTTCTAAATAATAAATATTAAGAATTCGTAAATCAGTATGGTCTTTTCCCATACACGATTAACATGTAATATTTGATCAATCTCATCATCTACAATTTGCGTAGGTAGATTGCTATCTGCTATCAATATATATATATATATGTACATATATATATATATATATTTCTTTACTCGCTTACCTGGAGGTATACACGAATCTACCTCAAGTCTACATACGACTGATTGTCAATAATGATGACGCCAAGCATGGACGTTATATGTAGCCCCGGAAATTACTGCCGTTTTTCTAGTCGAATAGACATAGGCAAAAAAAACGAATACAAAAATCGTATTGGTACACATAAGGTAAATAATATTCCAATGAGAGTAGTGAAGGATGACAACATATATATTTGTATAGAAAAAAAAGAAAGTGTAAATTGTGATAATAGACAGCAAAAATGAGGAGATTGCAATGCATTATCTCGTTTCAAAATCATCATATTTATTCATGCGTAAACGATATAAAAAGTAACGATGTAAAAAAAAAGCTTGGTCACTTTAAGAAGAAACTTATTCAAGAGAGAATAGAAAAGCAAGTTTTTTCTACACCATTTACTGTTATTTTATTATTACAATCCAATTGAAACGATTATTATATTTACGTTTAAATTCGAATCATGTCAAACGGTAGGTTAAATAAACAACAAAAAATAAATCATTATGTAAACGAAAAATATCAAATAATATAATTTTACGCGTTCTAAATGAAGTCGATTATTTGACTTTGTTGTTTTTCTTTCGTATATGTTTATAATGATTTATATAACCCTAAATTTATTAATAAAAGAGAATAATTGAGTTATACTTTATTTTTTATTGTATTTAATGGAAATAAAATATGAGTGATAAATAAGTCCTATATAGTGCCTTTCTAATGCATTGGAAATAAATAAAAAAAAAGACATCTTTTGTTATATTCTTTTCTTTTATACATACAAATTATGTTTACCGTAACATACTATGATTAGTCTATGACATAGAAAATAATCCAATTCAGGTTGTTTTTCTCTTTTATTAAACAACAAGAAAATTATCTTTGAATTAGAATAATGATTGCGTTTGACTATTCAGTAAAGAAAAACTATCTTTGATTTAATAGACAAAGTGTCTAGTGAATAATATGATAATACAAAAATATGTATTAAAATGCTACACATATATTTTATTGTATTTATTACATATAGTATAATGTTTTCGTTTAGATGATGGGAAAAATAAAACTATTGTTAATGATTTAATATCAATGAGTATTATTAATGAACCATTAATGATTGTTCTTGATAATGATGATGATAGTAATGATGATGATAGTGATGATGTTAATGATAAATATGAATTTATCGATTTAACAACATCATCAACAACAATAACACAGACCAATTCAAATAATATTTTATTAAATGAAAAAAATCAACAAAAAGAAGAAATTATTACACAGACAATTTCAACAGAAGGTAATATTATATTATTAAGAAATAATGAAAAAAGAAAACAACTTTCAATTTCTTTTAATAAATATTTAGGTGAACAATTACAAATAGAACTAACAGATTGCAATCATTCTTTAGTGAATACATCAAAAAATACATCAAAAATTTTTCGTCATTCTTCAAAAACTTCGAACAAATTAACAAAATCAAATAGATCTATTCGAAATATTGCTATTGATACAAATTTTATGCGACAAAAAACTCATCAACCACAACGAACTAAACCTGTACCTAAACGTAAAAAAGTATCTACATCTAATTCAATTGATAATCACAAAGATTTTTCTATTGATGATCATCCTATTGATTGTATACTATCACATATTTCATTTGAACAATCTACTATATTAACTATTTCACGTATGGGTTCAATATATTATTGTGTTGAAGATCTTTATATAAAAGCATTTTCATCTTTATGTACATTCGATGAATTTATATATTTATTAGAAGGTATCGATAGAAATATTCTTAAAACAGTAACATTATCAGAAAAAATATCTATTGAACAACAAAATCCTCTTTTAAAAACATTTAATCGTACACGTTATCATCTTTTAACAATAAATTCATTTGATTATATAACTAAATTAAAACAATTATTAAATAAATATGAAAAATCTATTGAAAAAATCTTTAATGAAATGCCTAGTCATAAACAAACACCAATGTCTATTCCGTTAAACAATAAAAGTAAGAACAAAAAAATAAGTAAATCTTTCTTATTGCAACAGATATTTTCTTTTAGTTTCAACATCATCAATATCTACAGAACATATGGAAACTAATAACAATAACGAACAGTCTAAATATTTAACAACTTCAAAAGAAAAACAACAATTAAATGAATTATCTCAATTTGGAATTTTTATTCCACATAATAATCCTGGTAATTGTAATAGAAATTCAACAAATGAAACGTTATCATCAATATCTATTCCAGATATGAATTCAAAAATTATAGCAAAATCTGCATTAAAAAAAAGACTCAGTAATAATAATAATAATAATAATGAATTTCAATCAGAACAAAATTCAAATAATAAGTATGTCAGTTCTTTTTTTCGTTTCTTTTATTTTTTAATAATAAGGCTATTTAACAAAAGAAAAACAAAAAAAGAAATTTTTTTTTCCAATTTATTGAAACAACCTCATCATGTTTCAAGCAAAAAGATTCTTATAAGTAATGACTAATTCTATATTTCATAGTTACCTTTTTTTTTTATTATAAACCCTATATATGTAGCTGTCTCATGCATAAAGAGTAACGGTTAGAATATAATAAATATCCGACATCCTATACTAAGATGAATATTATCTTTCTATTTAACTAGATATTTTACTTATAATGTAAACAAAATATTCTTTAAGTAAATATCACCGAAGGGTATTTTAAAGTCTGATCGTAAACAATCTTTGTTTTGTTTTTTTTACAATAGAGTAGATTGGATAAGATTAAATAAATATTTTCAAAACAAAGTATCAAAAAAAAAATCAAGTTGAATTTAATTCAAAAGAAAAAACAAAAACAAACTTTTTTTTTCTCTTTCAAATGTCACTTGAAAATTTCTAATAATTCACGCCATAGATCAGGTTGCATTCACTATTACTTATAAGTTTTCTCATTATGCTTTTCTTTTCACTACTTCATATGAAGTATATTTTATATTCCATGTGTTGTCTCGTGTCGGCAATGTAGATTTAATATGTGAAAATGAAACATATAGGTCATTTGATAACACCTAATCCTTCCAAAATACAATAAGAAAGTAGTATATTTACTATGACGAGATGTTATTGATATGTGATGTGTGTATTTCTCAGGGGTGGCCCGACCGGGGGGGGTGTCGGGGGTGGAACACCCCCCCAATCTTAGAAAAATTCTATTTTTTGCTCAGCAAAATCAAAAAATTTTCTTCCATTTGTCATGAAAAATAATGTTACACCCCCCCAAAATTAAAAAATTCCACCTTTTACTGCAAAAAATTTCGCGACACCCCCCCATTGTTGGTTGACTCGGGCCATCCCTGGTATTTCTATATAAACAACGTCTATCAGAGATAGTGGGGGATTGAAATTTTTATCTCTATACTTCAACACTCCTTTTTTTGGATCATGTTTCATAAAATGATTCACTTTTTTTGTTTCAAAATCTTAAGTATCAATCCGAGTTGAATATTTTATGTGATAATAATTTTGATTATTAAAGTATGTTGATATTGGTCCTTAAAATAAATGAGCTATTACTACCGATGATTTCAAATGAATATTGAAAGGTTAAAAGATTATCTTTATGTCATTTTCAAATGAAAAAAACATAAAAAGAAGTCATCATTTGTTTTTGACATATATAGATTAAAGATAATCTTGTCTTCCTTTTTGTATATGTGTGTGTGTGTGCATGTATTCATTTTTCTATATTTAGTTTAACACAACATTCACATAACATATCTGAAAATTGTTCGTCTTCATTAATTCCAAATACTCCATTAAAACAAAATATTCTTAATTCATTGGATATTGATACAAATCATTCATCTATTCCGAAAAATTCTTCATTAATATCACCAACAACTAATTTACTACATCATTTACGTCGTTCAAAATCTATGGCATATAATAAAAAACAAATTAAAAGACTTTCTTCTCGTTCATCTAGTTTACCATCAGTTAAATTTCATGTTAAAGATAATATTATATTAAAATCTTCATTAACAACAAAAAAACCAATTGATTTAATTGATGATAATTATAGAATGCCATTAATTGTTAATGTTGAAGAAAATGTTGAAATTAATAATCAAAATATTAAAAGTAAGATTAAAACAAATAATATTAAGTTAAAAATTTCTAATATCTTTTTTTTTCGTTTATTCAAAAAAAAACAAATTTTACTTATTTAAGTTGAAAAATCTATGTGATCAAAACAAAATTCAATTAAAATTTCAACCGAGATCCTATGACATACTAATACCCTTTTCACAACTGATTCAGTACACATACTAGAGTGACTAATAGAGTCCTACATGAAGGCAACTAATTTTTTTTTTGCCTGAAACTCAGTTTTAACATATGAGCTTTTTTGAATAGTAGATTTTGTTATTTGATATTAGCTAAACAAATTGATGCATTTTAGAGGTTCCAACAATATCTTATAGAAGTATCCGAGCATGAAACAAAGTCGGAGTCAAATTCGACGTCGACTTTCTTTCATGTCTATAGGCTTTGGTAAGATGTCGTTGGAATTTTCTAAATGCATTGTTTTGTATAGTATGAATTTCAAAAACGTTGAATTTTGACCTGACGGGTTCTGACACACTGTACATTATATTTTAATTTAGGCGGTTAGGCTCTACCTCTGAGAATAGTTACGGATCATCAATATCTTCTCGTTCTTCATAAAATCATTCATATCATTTTTCACATATTCTCAGATGTGAAGTCTGGCCACTAAAATCAAAGATGAACAACAATTAAAAAATAATAAAATTTTCTTGAGCGTTCTCTAATATATTCTAGTATTGTTACCATTATTTTTATTATGCCTTAAATATATTATCTAAAAATACAAATTCTAGGTGATGAAAAACTTCTATCATATTCTCAACAATCATCAATAAATAATACAATGTCGTCTATATTACAAAAAAAATCTATTCCATCGTCTGATCATAATATATTTCGATCTTCATCGTTATATTTAAAACCAATAACATATGATGTTTATTATGAAAAAACTTATCCATCTTCATCATCATCATCATATGAAAAACCAAAAGAATTACTTTCTAATCATGAAAATGTGCAATCAAAATTAATATCAATATTAAATAATAATCTTTCTCAAACAAATTTAAATTCATCTTCTTCAACTATGATACCATTCGTACAACAACGAATTAATAATAATAATAATAGAAATGATAATAGCTATTCATTAATATCCGAACAACAACCAGTATCGATACCATGTTATTTACCTTGTTGTTCTGGTCAATTAACAGACGATAAATTTTCTATATCAAAAAATATTTCTTCAAATCAACGAATGATTCATTCACAATATACAGTTTCACCTTCATTAAAATGTAATCTTTCACAAACATTAAAAAATTCTAATTCATCATCATCATTATTATCATTATCCAATAGTCGAAAACTACGTCGATTTCAAACAAATCCATATCCATCATCAAAACATTTTTTTCCTCAAACATCTATTCCTTCACATTATTCTCAAAATTCATTTATCAGTGAAGTTCAATCTAAACCAAATATTTATCATACAGTATCACCAAATATTATACAAAATTGTGCTACAATAATAAGTCCACCAAATACACCTAATGGATTAACATTACCAAGTACATTTTTTGGAAGTATTGATATATCACAAGCTATTGTTAAACATAGTCCTATTGATATGGATAAAATACCAAAACTTGTTGTAAGACATACAAAAACATATTTAAATAAAAAAATTGATACTATGGGACAATTATTTCCAACATGGTTTAATGAACCAGATTATCGTTGTATACATTGTTTTACATGTGATCAAGTATTTACGCCACAACAATTTATGACACATGTTGATGATGAACAAATGATAAATATACAACCATTACATATGACATCAATACAATTATTAACATCAGAAAAATTATCAGATTATAAAGTTGCATTGTAAGTTTAAAATTTTAATTCATCTATTTGATTGTTGTTTTTTATTATTCTTTAGATGGAATGAATTTTGTACAAATCTAACTAATTATGCAAGGTAAATTGAATAAAAATAATAGATATATACATATATATATACATGAAACTTTTTTTTTTTTGTAAAATTCAATTATTCAGTAAATTTGCTGAATTAGGAAAAAAGAAATGTACAAAGAATCACTGAAGGTATTCAAATAAGACAGATAAAATTATTGCTATTTATACAAACTACTAAAAAGACTAATTAATTATGTTACTTGCGATTCTATATAGAAATTTCAACAAAAGCTTATTGAGAATTCATTCAAATAAATAAATAAATAAATAAATAAAAGAATTAATAAACCTCTAAATTATATTCTTGGTATTTGTTCAGCTAACTCTAAGCATATATTTTGTTTAGAAGTATTTTCTTAATTTTATAAATATAGTTTGATTTATTTATTTATTTGTTTTCTAGGAAGGGTCGAATAATAGGATTCTCAACAAAAAGAAACTTATAAAGAAAAATAAAAATGCCCAACATTATTCAAATCTCTACAGTCGGTAATTATTGTAAAAGAACCACCCATATAATTTTTATATGGAAAAAATACATCATGATTTAATGTATTTTTAATTTTTATTGTAAATTCTTGTGAAATCTATTAAAGAGGAAAACACATTGAGTCATAGAGTATTTTGAATAGAGTTTCATTAGACTCAAACATGTTTTTATTTGTCTATTTACTTTGTTTTTAATTTCTTTTGTTCAAAAACGTTCTTCATTCGATAAAATTAATTTCTAAAAAAAAAAAAACGTTCATTGTTGATTTCTTCTTATAATAAGATTATTCACTAAAAGCAAAAGATAAGAGATCAGAAATTATTATTAAAAATATTTTCTAATATTATAATTAAAATTGATGGACTTTTTTTTTGCCTTTTGTAATAAAGCTAATTTTCTTAAAAAATATAAATTTATCTCATCAAGTAATGAATAAAGTAATTCTATTCTTTTTATCTTTTACGTTTTCTAATCCATATATTTTCATTCTTATAAATTAATTCAGAGTTCCTTCGTTTTCTCATGTTCAATCTTGTTGAACATAACATTTGAAAATTATCATCAACTTTTTCTTTCTCTTCATTTCATTTCAATTAAAATAACATCGAAATCAATTTACATAACTATTTCTAATTTAAATACTGACTGTCATCAGCAGACTGAGAACACTAGCGACTCACTAGACTTTGCTAACAAGCCAATCAAATTTTACCAACAAAGCCTAATGAGTCGCTAATGTTTGCAACTTGCTAACGTCAACAGCTATGCATTTTGTCCCATATATTCTTAATATTACCTGTAGAACGTTTCATTGTTTCTTTTTTTCTCCGAACTCGGAGTGCAAATTCTGCTATCAGTTGTCTGTAGATATGAACAAGACTAGATGTTTTTGGTCACGGCGGAACCATCTAGCTAGTGGCGTATCTAGAACAGTGGCGACTCGCTGGCGGTGAGGTGGCAGTGGAAGGTGGCGCCACTCTTTTTTTGCTTTTAATTTTTTAACTGAATGCTATGAAGACCTGCAATTTTTATCATAATCTAGCCCTAAAATGTAGTATATATGATAAAAATTTCAAGTCTCCATAACATTCAGTTAAAAGGTGGCAAGCAAAAAAAGAGTGGCGCCACCTTCCACTGTCACCTCAGCGCCAGTGAGTCGCCACTGTTCTAGATACACCACTACATCTAGCCCATATCTAGTTTCGTGTGATGACTTCTCTAACCTTGAGAGCTCATGTTCTCATTCAATAATCAACTCTCTCTATCAACATATAATAAGTCCATATAAACCTTAACTCTTTAACCCTTCACCTTGCTCGCTTGAGTGAACATTTGTAGAATGATTCTAGAAAATCAATGAAATATAGGATTGGAAAATGTCTTGTAGTGAATTCTATAAACTACGAGTTATAATTTGGGAAAATTAAAGAAGTTGAATCTTTTTTTTTTAAATACAATGTTTTTCTATCAATAGAGAAGATACATAACTGAAAGGATTTTGTTGAATATACAACGACGGTCATTACTATTCTTGATGTCAATACTATTCGAAAGTTTCACAAAAGCGAACTGGATAAATGATCGTAAGATACACGATGGTCATTAGTGGGTTTCTAGAAAACCGAATCTCTAGTTTTTCAACGTCTACAATTTGGTTATAAAGTCTGTTCTCACTACAGGTAATAACAAAGTGAACAATTCTCTACAAAATGAAACGTGTCCGAGCTCTCTGAGATGGTTTTTGGCTGAACTACATCTGGTTTATGGAAAACCTCCAGAAGAACAATTTATTCATACTATTGATATATCGGAGATGCCAATACTCTGTCCCAATGATTGTTTCAATTTGCGGTGAAAAGCTCAAGGAAACAATTTCGACATTGACAAATTTCGAACTCGGATTTCAGTGTGTGTTTAGAAAACCTTTTCATACATCCACATCCTCAAGAGTAGACGAATGAAAAATAAAAGAAAAATCCTCGATTGATCGCAACATTTACATAAAATGAACTAAGTGATAATAGAATGAGAGGACATCTTTTGCGATTTGATTTTCAAAATCCTATTTTATTCGACACGTTGGAGTTTGAAATTTTTACAGTAACTCGTTGTTTCATCAATCGTTCTTCTGGAATCCCTATGTGGGATAAAGAGTTAATTAAAATTTCGTCGATAACTCTTAACACAGTGTCAGGAATATTTGTGAAAGATTTTACGCAATTGATATTCTTATCAAAAATTCAATAACAGAAATGATCTTTTGTTTCCTCATTAAACACGTATTCAATGTTTTTAGTATATAGGATAGTTAAAAATTTCTGATAGCAACTTCACAAGTTTCTATTATGAGAAACTCAGTACATAGGTTCATATATGAAAATTCGTTTGTTATTAGATTTAACAGCTATACAAAATCATGATGAATTAACTACTACTTATAGACCAGATGTAGTTTCATAGTGTATAGTTACTCGATGGATTCAACGATTTTCAAATGAGCAAGAATTCTTGGCAGATAATCAATGTTGTTAAAGATCTGATGAATGATGATCCACATATTATTATTAATTATATTCCTACCATCTTAGACATAGCTATCACATAAACTATCGTGATGAATACATGAAGATATTAGTCAAAAATTTCCATAAGCAGAAAGAAGAACACATATGCAAGATATTGCTCTCAATCTTAATTGTCTTCAAGAGAAAACAATCTAAGTTATGATTCATCCACTATGTACATCTCTTTGGTTGTTTAGTTGTCTGAAATGTAACCTTGATACATATCCATATACTACAAGTTTAGGTAAAGCAATAATCAAGAAGTTCAATTCAATACCTATTCACAAATACTAAAAGATCTTTCGGAAATGGATTGACAGAATGAAACTTTGTATTGAACATCATGGGGAGTAGTTGTACTCTATGAATGAATTTTTGAAAGTTGCAAAAATTTTTAACTATCCTATGTAATTTATCAACATTATTTCAAATCTCTTCGTGTTAGTTCGACAAAAGGATTATTCGTTCTTATGTGATAATTAAAAAGAATGAAAAATTAACGTTGAAAATTGAATCTTTTTTGTTACATAATTCTCTCAACCAAATCGAGCTAAATCAAAGAATATGATTTTATTATCAATTTGTTTTTATATTTTGTTGGCATTTTTTTATGTAGAAAAAATAGAGAATGTAAGACTGAAAACATCTCTATAAGGTGATAGTTATATTGACATAGATTTTTGTTACTAATCGAAGAAATAATTTAGTTGTAGATGGGTAAAATCCTTCATTCAAGTTATCTAAACAAATCCATCATGTCGTATGCTAGGACAAAAATATTCAAAATCTTTTTTAATTCCTAAAATAACCACAGTTCGACGGCTGAATAATATAAACGAATATCTATAAGACTGATTGATTTTGAATCAGTTGTAGAAAATGATGCATAAAGAATCGAAACAAATTATTGAAAAAAAAGTCATTCTAGAAAAATTTGACATATTTTCAAATGAAATTCAAATTCGATCGGACGCAACAAAGTTCAATTCGAATTGCTATATAATTACGGTTGACTGTCGTATATGAATCCAATCAAGTTTCAGAATTTCAATGAAACATAAGGAATTGTCTGATTGTGTTAGTTTGCAATGCAATTATCAGATGTTGTGCATATCTCGAAAGTTAATAGAGTTCGGTTCAATGTAATACATTTTGACTGTGGTAAGTGTTTTTGGTGAATGATAGTGAATATGAGATATCTGATTGAAGGATTTTCTCATTGTATAACGTTTTGCTATACGTGGTGTTTTTTTTCTTAGTTGAAATACAACTATAGAAAATTTAAAGTAGTCAACGCTAAGATTGCAGCTATTGAATCGGTTAGATTTTTTTTTGAGTTTTAATCTTCTATTAGCGAATTCTACCGATCTATTGTCCATTTCAAAAAAGAATAGATTCGGTTGTTTGTTGAATAATTCGACAATGCTAATAGCTATTGAGCTCGGGTTTTCGCTGTTAGGAAGAGCATGAGTGGGGAATACAAATCTACTTGAGAATCAAAATACTTGAAAAGTTTTCTAGGGAATTCCATGGATTCTTTTGGAAAATCATTGTCTGATTCACTTGATTAGCTGTATTTTCAATATAGTCATATTGTAGCCCAATGTCTACTTTATAAATCTCGAAATTCTTAGGCGTTTTTGACCCTTTCCTAGATATTCATCGGAAAATGAAATTATGGAATTTCGATCTGAAAACTTGTCCACAGATAGGTCTAATGGGTCCATAGAATATCCTATAAATTTTAACCAAAACGAATGTTCCTTTCTCAAGATATTAGATTTTCAATTTCACTTGAAAATACATCTAATCAAGCGAATCAGAGAGTGATTTTCCAGAAAAACTCCATGAAACCCCCTAGAAAACTTTTCAAGTATTTTGATTCTCAGATAGACTTGTAGCTTCCACTCATGCTCTTTCTAATGTTTTAATAAAAATCTTTATTGTATTTATGCATGATGCTTTGTATCAATTTCCGACACCGTTTTTAAGTGTCTGCAAATGGAAATACGTATATGAAGTTATGAAGATATAGGAGGTAGGTCTGTGTTTGAAGAGAAGTCAATTACTAGTACACACTCACATCCGCACCCTTCTTATTAGTTCATTTCATAGAAATCTTGTACAAATATAAGCTGATAAAAGTAAATAAATATTCATGAAATTTTAATTCTTCTTAGTGATCAATCAAAATTTATTCAAATCCAGACACAGACTTTTATATCCTACTTACAGTAAAATTAGAGTTTTTCATTTTAATATTCGTTAATCATTTGTAAAGATCTCAAATTTTCTACCTACTAGAATCTTTCAATATTGTACATTAAGCATCAACGGATATTTATTGATCGGAACTTTATAATAAACCATGTTCACTGTTGTAATCGAGAATAATATGTGAATAATTTTCATGAACATAAATCGATAACATAAGTCTTAGTATTGTCTTTTTACTTTATAACTATAAATAGACGTTATCCATCAGATAAAATGTCTTATTTCAAGATGTAGATCATCAAAATTTTGCAACAAAGTGTTTGCTTGTCTATATAATCTTGTGCTACAAATAATACTGCATAATTCGTTGATGGGCACATACTGTATAATTTTTTTTACAGCTATTTTTTCTTTTTGTTTTTAGATCATATAGTGATAAAAAATTTTGTTCAATTATGAGTAAGGAAAAAAAAGCTTTTTCTTGATTACGTAATAGTAATGAATTATGATTACTTTAAGGATATAGTGCAGGTTAGTTTGTATTGATTTTGTTTTAATAACTGACTCTGACAATATTTTAGATATTAACAAGTCTCATTGATAATACGACAGAGATTGATGAACTTGAAATTTATTTAAGAAAAAGAATCGAAGCAACATTTAAAGCTAATGATTATAAATGTAAGCAATATATATATAATATCACTACTAACTACATTAGAAAACTTAAATTATTTAACTTTTAGCCGTAGTCGAGGATTATAAACGATTAAATACATTCATTAAGGATGTCGACAAAGACAAGAAATGTCATTTTAACTGTAAAGTAAGTGAATATAAAACCAACAAGTTGAACAAATACGGTCGTAAGCGATTGTATACGAAGAAATACGGGTGGATGTGGGTGTGGTTGTTCTCTTTCCTCAAATGCATACACGAAAACAATTCTTATTGCTATGTTTTCAAAAATGAATCTCTATGTATTGTACCAAAATGATATTGCCACAAATTCTCTTTGTAGAATGATGATTTTGTATGAAATAACAGAACGATTTTTTTCTTGCAGAAAAAAAAATAAAGTTTTACATGTTTTTGTGTTTAAAAAGTATTTGTTTTCAGTCCGGAAGCATTAATCAAAATTCAATTGAGATTCACTGTTGAAGGATAAATTCGTCTACGATTGTGTCGATCGACGAATATAGTAGTTTGTACACGAATTCCGAGTTTTCGCCATTGATGCCAAAAACGAATATCTAATGCTGCAACAATTATTGGATCACATGCTAGTTCTACAAAACTAAGTATCGTAACGACATTCATTAAATTCTGTTGATAAAGTGACATTTGAGAAACAATAATATATGGTGACCAAAATATACCTCAAATAAAATAAAAACAAAAAAATTGAATAACTAATGAACGATGATATTTTTCACGAGCTGAAACATGATGTTCTGTCCATTGTAAAACTGATGTTAAATGAACATGATGAACACTAGCATAAATCATCAACATGTTCAAGAACATTGGTAATGTAAATGCGAAAATTATATTAAATATTTGAACATAGATATTCGTATAAAATATTTCACAACTACCTCTTATAGGATCTTTTATCTGAGTCCAACCAACAAGAAATTCAATGATAAAAACAACTAATGGTATTAAATAGATACAAAACTGAATGAAGATCAATAGTTTGATATGCACTTGATATACATTTCGTTTGTATGCTATTTGTATACAACGACCTATATTCAAATCTAATAGAATATATATTTCAATTATATTGAAATAATTATCCATTATTGCTTCAAAATAGCAGTTAAATAAAACCCATGCTCTGCTTGTTTGGCATTCTGTAGATGTTGTATGAATAATATAACTAAATAACAAGCGAAAAATAAGAAAAATATCCGTGAAGAGATATGTATAGATCTATAGGATTTTTTTTTGTCGAAGAGATGAAGAAAAACTAATTTGAAGCCAAAGTATCAAATGTATAAATGAAACAAAAATATATCCATAAAGATGAGGTTTTGTACTGTCAATAATAGCTTGAGTCCACAGGAGAGGTTTTGAACATGTCATGTTCATATCATTGAACACCAGTGTTGTTATTGTTACACTATCCATCTATAAGAAGAGATCTCTACTATTAAAATGACAATCGTTTGGAGAGTCTCTGCCGGAATGTTATAGTGATGATAGTAAGAATTCCTTAATGAGAATAGAGATATATTTTCTAATTAAAAGCTACATTATGAAATCGCTGGTGATCAAAGACTTTTTTTATAAAATTTGATCTCATTAAAAAAAGTACAAATGAAAGTTGTTTGATAATTTTCCTTCTATTTCGAGACGAGTTTTAACAAGCATAATTGGAACTGGTAAATATAGTTCGATGAATCTAGACGTTTATTTTAGAACGAGATGTTTGACTTCTTTTTTTAAACAACTTAACTCGATCTATATATAACTCATATACAAGCTACTAACGAAGTCTTTATTGAAACTGATGAATATAACAAACTAAATATCATTTCATTCTAAGATCGTAGACTCTCATCGAGGAATGATGCACTGTGAGTAGCATAAACTCTCTTAATTAAATAGTTTGTTCAAAAAATTGATACTTAAATTAGCATATTTACACGAAATCATGCTATACTTATAAGAATGAGAACTAAAAATCTAAAACAATGATGCCAATATTATTTCTAGCCAATGAGCATCCTAATAATTTGTTTCAAAATTATCATCATTTTTTTTTCCTTTTTTCAAAATCATTTTCCGCTAGGATATAATAGATTATACAAGATTTACTCTAGCGGAAAGTGGCTAATTTATTTAAAAACAAACTAGATTAATTCATCATTATCTTCGCAGTCTCTATTTAATTTTGATTTGATCACCGAATAGTCATACGTACTAAAGGCGAAAATGAATGCTTCAAAGATATCTACTGTTTCTCAATCAGATAAATAATCAATTCATGAAATGGGTTTTTTATTAGAGGTATACATCGTATTATGATTCAATGAAATATAAACTAAGTGAAGCTGAAATAATTTACAGATTTTCGAGATAAGAAATCAGGGTTAACGATCTAATATTGACGTCAAAAAGAAGGCTTTCTATCAAGCTATGATGATATAGTAAAGAAAAACTAGATAGATAATGTTAAACCCTGTCATGTGTAGCTTTACGAACGATGTTTACACAAAAAAACTTAAAGTAAAATCGTTAATCTGAAGTTCAGAAGACAAGATAAGAACTACCGATTAAAATGGTCGCAAAAATATCAGACAAATAGCAACTTACTGATAAAATCTAGTCTTGATGCCACGAACGTATTGTTAATAATTATAGATTTTATTCAATACTGTAGGCGATGTCTAATTTAGTGGAATGTAGTGTCACTAAATAAAAACTCCTTTGATCAATACCTTATATTATACGTCATAATTAATTTGCGATGTTTTATGATCAAATTAAATTAGCGAAATACAGCTGTATCATAGTTGATGTATGTGTGTGTGTCTGAAGAAAACCATTGGATCTGAATAGTATGATCATCATCTAAGCTCCTATATAACTGTGGAATCGCGTGAGAAAAGAATATATCCTCGGCAATCACTCTCGACTGAATATCTTTTGTAGATGCAATTAGAATTCAAGGACACTAAGAAATAGCAATGATGATGAGCGCTTCTATCGAGATTATGCGTATTTTAATAGAATTATGAAATATACTCAAATATTTGAAAAACAATTAGAATGAAGCTAATTCCAGAGGAAAAAAAGAATCCTCGATATAAAGGTGTGTGTCGATGGATTGCACTAATATAGTACTATTTGAAGAAAAAAATCGAAGAAAATAAAGGTAAATATAGAGAATATTTGAGTTTCACATTCGACAGGGTCTCATGTGTTATGCACAAATCAAGTATTTTATCAACTGTCAGTTTTATTGTTTCGGAACAAATGCAATTTTCTAAGCTCATAAATATTCTAAGTTTTCTTGACATGATAAAATTTCGAAACTAATAGTTTTTTTAGATCACTATTATATACAAATCGAACCATTTTGAAAAGAAGAATCTAACAACTATGTACAGATGCAACAGTATAATGTAATTGTTCGCATTGATAACACATCTTTTGAGGAATGCGCTGTGGGATTAACGAGGGAGCCTCCCCAGTTGGGTGTAAGTATGAATAGAAGATCCACAGATACGCACACGCATAGCCTAGCATTAAGTTAGCAATGTTTTTAGTTCTAATACATATACTACTTGCGACTGTACCTTTCTATGTTTATGTTCGTAAGTTCCTGATAACAGAATAAAGATGTTTTAGATTCGGAAGTACCATTTCCAAAAAAGAAGTGTGAAAGGTACCAAAAGACAATAAAAGCGTTTATTTTGACTGCTATACAACATGTCGAGACTTTCTTTTTTTTTATAGCAACAGTACTATATACCTATCTTGTACAACTTGAATTCGACGAATAAACAGATAATCGATCGAATACGATGATATCTTTTCTAAGCGAAAAAAAGTTGTGGAAGAGGTTCTGAATTCTTTTGTCTAAAATGTTTTCTGATGTTTGAAGAAAATTTCCAAATGAATTCTATGATAGATTTTTTCACTAGATAATCTATTGCTTCTAACAAAAAAAACAATAAAGTCTCTACGACATTTCATTACAACGCTATATCAAAAACAAAATCGATGCAAAACTTTTGTATTACCCGAATGAAAAGTGATATTTATAAACGGCTTGAATCCGCGGGTACACGTAAACATATAATTTGAGCTGCAAAACCAGTAAATCGTGAAAATACCTCGCCCATAAACCCGTGGTCTATCAGGATCCAACCCACCCGTCGGCCACAGGCCGGGTCGCAGGTCGGGTGGATTGAATAAAACGGATCAATCCGCCAACGTCTCTGACCCGCACCCTCACCCATATCCACACCCTTATCACTCTTCATTCCAAGAAAAATGAAAACATATAGAAGTACGGATGCTTTTTTTTTGATCGATTATGTATTCTCTTATTCTAATCCTATTATACTGTTTTAATTCTTATACTTATTCTTTTCTTTCCCTTCTCTTTCTTGCTTATTGTAACGAAAAATATATATCTATATCTATATATATATATAATTTCGTTATGACAAATGGAGAGGCACATTAATGTCTTTAATCTCATTGTGACCATGATGTTTATTCGACTATGCACTGCATCCAAAATGTAACACTCTCATACACAACATGAGTTTATATAGGAGAGAGCTGGGAGAGAAGAGAGAGAATAGATAATACAATATAAAGGGAGGAAAGGAAATAAGAAAGATATAACAGAAGATTATGCAATGTAAGAATGAACAAGTGATGAGGCCAAGGAGAGAACAATGTAA